CAGAACTGAACAGAACTAGAACAGAACTAGAACAGAACTAGAACAGAACTAGAACAGAACTAGAACAGAACTAGAACAGAACTAGAACAGAACTAGAACAGAACTAGAACAGAACTAGAACAGAACTAGAACAGAACTAGAACAGAACTAGAACAGAACTAGAACAGAACTAGAACAGAACTAGAACAGAACTGAACTGAACAGAACTAGAACAGAACTAGAACAGAACTAGAACAGAACTAGAACAGAACTAGAACAGAACTAGAACAGAACTAGAACTGAACTAGAACAGAACTAGAACAGAACTAGAACAGAACTGAACAGAACTAGAACAGAACTGAACAGAACTAGAACAGAACTAGAACAGAACTAGAACAGAACTAGAACAGAACTAGAACAGAACTAGAACAGAACTAGAACAGAACTAGAACAGAACTAGAACAGAACTAGAACAGAACTAGAACAGAACTAGAACAGAACTAGAACAGAACTAGAACAGAACTAGAACAGAACTAGAACAGAACTAGAACAGAACTAGAACAGAACTAGAACAGAACTAGAACAGAACTAGAACAGAACTAGAACAGAACTAGAACAGAACTAGAACAGAACTAGAACAGAACTAGAACAGAACTAGAACAGAACTAGAACAGAACTGAACAGAACTAGAACAAACTAGAACAAACTAGAACAGAACTGGAACAACTAGAACAAAACTAGAAAAAAACTAGAACAAAACTATAACAGAGCTAGAAACAGAAACTAGAACAGAACTAGAACTTGAACTGAATTAGAATTGAACTTGACGATACATAGTGTATCTAATGGTTGCTAGATATTAGATGTAAAGTTTTGGAAATTGCGCTAAAGTACAAAGTTAAAAGTAGTTTATGGGATTCTTAAGATAAAAGAGAAGTTCGTTCTAACCTTCAAATATATAAACAAAAGTTATTTTAACATATTGAGAAAAACTCACATATGTGTTTCTATACCCTGTAGTTCGAAGTGATAGTCCTAGACTAGGGTTTTTACTTAACATTTTGTTATACCTAGTTCCTAGTATCGACTCGATAAGAGATTAACTTTGGTAGTTATATAATAAATACATACTTAGATATTAGAGTGACGATGGACTTAAAATTAGATTACTTAGAGGCCCCTTCTCTTTATATTGAAAACAATGACGAATGATATTTAGTCTCGAGTCAATGCAATAGTTAGACATTTGTTAAGAAAGTATCTTTAAAAAGGTACATTGATCTTCCGAAAACTGTTGGGATATGTGTGTGTAATCACACAAATATGTTTCACATCCATATAGGAAGTTAGCTGCAGAAAAAAAGTAAAGAATTAAATAATGTCATGTAAAGATTTCATTTTTTTTCATACATTTTACTCATCTATATTGCCTTAAGCTAAGATGTTAAACTAACTATCTATTATTTTTTATTGTTGTTGCAATTGTTGTATTTTATATTGAGTTACTAAATACAAAGTCACATGTAGTGTGTAATTCTTATAGAATTTAAGATAAAACTTACTGGGTCATACAGAAAAACTTTAAATAAATAAAAGACCAAAGACAAATTTGCTCTACATTCTTTAATGTATGTAAATTCTAACATGTACTTAAGCAAAGAAAATTTAAAAGAAAATCTTTTAAAGTTTTGAATAATAAAAGCACTGACTAACCTTGTTTTTAAATGCAAGTTTTGAATGAAATACTAAAGAGAATAAATATCTTAACTAGATTTAATTTTAGTTACTTATTAAATAACTGATGAAGGTTTGAGATTTTCGTATTATCTTCTAAAAAAAGTATAATTCCACATTTTTCTTCTTTTGGGGTTTCACACCTAATCTAGCAAAGATTATTAGTCTTGTTAATGAATTTATCATAAAAATGTCAACGTAGTTGGTGTCGAAAAAAAGGAAAGATTTCCATTTATAAATTAACTGCTTCTCCAGTCGTTTCCCTTTTTTATCTAATGTTCTTTTCTAATATTTCTATTGTTCGTTTGACGTCATTAGACTGTATTTGTAATGATAAGGAAATTTCATTGAAATACGACAAGAAAATCATTTGGCTTACAGGAATTTCGCAATAGGAAGAACAAGTTAGATCTGGAAAATTTTACATCATTAGAAATATAATAAGCAGGTTAATTTATTTGGGGAATTGGGATGTAAAGAGTTGTTAAGCAACAATGCGCTTGTGGAAAATTTTAAGACATACATACATTATGGTAAATTGTGAGAACTGAAGAGCCTTGAAACTGAACTAGAGCTGAATTAGACCTGAACTAGAACTGAAGTAGAACTGAACTAGAACTAAACTAGAACTCGACTAGAAAAACTAGAACTCAAATAGAACTGAACTAGAACTGAACTAGAACTGAACTAGAACTGAACTAGAACTGAACTAGAACTGAACTAGAACTGAACTAGAAACTGAACTAGAACTGAACTAGAACTGAACTAGAACTGAACTAGAACTGAACTAGAACTGAACTAGAACTGAACTAGAACTGAACTAGAACTGAACTAGAACTGAACTAGAACTGAACTAGAACTGAACTAGAACTGAACTAGAACTGAACTAGAACTGAACTAGAACTGAACTAGAACTGAACTAGAACTGAACTAGAACTGAACTAGAACTGAACTAGAACTGAACTAGAACTGAACTAGAACTGAACTAGAACTGAACTAGAACTGAACTAGAAACTGAGAACTGAACTAGAACTGAACTAGAACTGAACTAGAACTGAACTAGAACTGAACTAGAACTGAACTAGAACTGAACTAGAACTGAACTAGAACTGAACTAGAACTGAACTAGAACTGAACTAGAACTGAACTAGAACTGAACTATAGAGAACTGAACTAGAACTGAACTAGAACTGAACTAGAACTGAACTAGAACTGAACTAGAACTGAACGAACTGAACTAGAACTGAACTAGAACTGAACTAGAACTGAAACTAGAACTGAACTAGAACTGAACTAGAACTGAACTAGAACTGAACTAGAACTGAACTAGAACTGAACTAGAACTGAACTAGAACTGAACTAGAACTGACTAGAACTGAACTAGAACTGAACTAGAACTGAAAGAACTGAACTAGAACTGAACTGAACTAGAACTGAAACTAGAACTGAACTAGAACTGAACTAGAACTGAACTAGAACTGAACTAGAACTGAACTAGAACTGAACTAGAACTGAACTAGAACTGAACTAGAACTGAACTAGAACTGAACTAGAACTGAACTAGAACTGAACTAGAACTGAACTAGAACTGAACTAGAACTGAACTAGAACTGAACTAGAACTGAACTAGAACTGAACTAGAACTGAACTAGAACTGAACTAGAACTGAACTAGAACTGAACTAGAACTGAACTAGAACTGAACTAGAACTGAACTAGAACTGAACTAGAACTGAACTAGAACTGAACTAGAACTGAAACTAGAACTGAACTAGAACTGACTAGAACTGAACTAGAACTGAACTAGAACTGAACTAGAACTGAACTAGAACTGAACTAGAACTGAACTAGAACTGAACTAGAACTGAACTAGAACTGAACTAGAACTGAACTAGAACTGAACTAGAACTGAACTAGAACTGAACTAGAACTGAACTAGAACTGAACTAGAACTGAACTAGAACTGAACTAGAACTGAACTAGAACTGAACTAGAACTGAACTAGAACTGAACTAGAACTGAACTAGAACTGAACTAGAACTGAACTAGAACTGAACTAGAACGAACTAGAACTGAACTAGAACTGAACTAGAACTGAACTAGAGAACTAGAACTGAACTAGAACTGAACTAGAACTGAACTAGAACTGAACTAGAACTGAACTAGAACTGAACTAGAACTGAACTAGAACTGAACTAGAACTGAACTAGAACTGAACTAGAACTAACTAGAACTGTACTAGATCTGAACTAGAACATAAGGCTCTTGTAGAAGATTTTGTTACTGTGCAGGGTATATAAAGTTCGTTTTCATTAAAGATAATGGTCAATTTATGGAAAGAGTGCTACGCCTACATACGTTTTATATTATTGTTGTTTTTTGTGGGTGTGTTTTTTAAATTAAAAGAGTAAAGCTAAATTAAGTTTATTTAGTTATGCATATAGTTATTTAAGACTCACCTTTAGAAAAAAGTAAACCATATAAAAAGGTCAAGGCCATTCATTTTTGGTGATAACAATGTTTGTAATTCTTTTAAACAAACTTTAATTGATACAATTAAAGATGCATTTCAAGAATTTTTTTGAAAAATATAATAAAAATTTTAAAGGAAATTTTTTAAAACTATTACGATAATGATCATTTTTTATAAAATTATATTCAGCTACCAAAACACTATTAAAAGGTGGCGCTATTCGGTTTTAGTACAATCCTAAGAATCAAAAGAAAACAACAACTCAATATACATAAAGTAGGTACATATGTAGGTAGTAGGTACGCTTTATCTAGTTGTCATTTTTATTTTGATGTGTATAAAATTAATTTTTAAATATTCTAATGTGATTGTTGTTGTAGCTGTTAATATACATTCCTAAGAATGTAGATTAATTATACAATTGTCAAAAGTAAATAAAATAAAAAAAGATAATAAATATAATAAAATAATATAACTACTGACTCTGACACTGATTAAACCTTACGCGTTTAAATTCTTAAATTTGTATTCAGCATCATCTAAATGATACGAACATTTTCCTTTACAGTCATCACATCTCTGTGTTAAGACTTTTCTTTTATTTGACATGACGATCAGATTTATCTGTCTGACGACTCTCTATCTATCTGCTTTTTTGTATGTCTGTCGATCTGTAGCATTTTTTAACTGTACTTGTTGTAATAAAGCATAAAGAAATAATAATGTTCTAAAGATTTATTTGATGTGTGTTTTTTGAAAAAAAAACATTTTTCTGAATTCTATCTTCATTTTGTCTTTGTTGCAAATTAGAAAGAATTTCAGTTACTTACGACCGATCGTTGGTTCATGACATGAACTTGTGAAGTGCGGATGCGGTTAAAGAGTGTTGGTCGAAAATTTCTATGTAAAGTTCGTGTCCACTAAACGTCGTGTTTTTTCTCCATTCTTGACGGGTTGGTGTTATTGTTTTTTAAAAAATAAAAAAAAAATATTTAAAAAATTATTATCCTGTGAAAATCCTTTAGTGAAGTTATTGTTTTTAAAATAAAACGAAATGAAATCTAGAAAATAATAAGAAAATTTTTATATAAAATTAAACAAACAAATTATTTTAATTATTCGAATAATTGTTGTAACTTGAATTAATTTAAGGGAGATCTTATAGACATTTTGTAAATACTGCAAACGATTCGAATTTTATACCTTTTTTTTATATTCATTATTAGATCAGTTCTAGTTTAGTTCCAGTTCTAGTTCAGTTCTAGTTCTAGTTCAGTTCTAGTTCTAGTTCAGTTCTAGTTCAGTTCTAGTTCAGTTCTAGTTCAGTTCTAGTTCAGTTGTAGTTCAGTTCTAGTTCAGTTCTAGTTCAGTTCTAGTTCAGTTCTAGTTCAGTTCTAGTTCAGTTCTAGTTCAGTTCTAGTTCAGTTCTAGTTCAGTTCTAGTTCAGTTCTAGTTCAGTTCTAGTTCAGTTCTAGTTCAGTTCTAGTTCAGTTCTAGTTCAGTTCTAGTTCAGTCTAGTTCAGTTCTAGTTCAGTTCTAGTTCAGTTCTAGTTCAGTTCTAGTTCAGTTCTAGTTCAGTTCTAGTTCAGTTCTAGTTCAGTTCTAGTTCAGTTCTAGTTCAGTTCTAGTTCAGTTCTAGTTCAGTTCTAGTTCAGTTCTAGTTCAGTTCTAGTTCAGTTCTAGTTCAGTTCTAGTTCTAGTTCAGTTCTAGTTCTAGTTCTAGTTCAGTTCTAGTTCAGTTCTAGTTCAGTTCTAGTTCAGTTCTAGTTCAGTTCTAGTTCAGTTCTAGTTCAGTTCTAGTTCAGTTCTAGTTCAGTTCTAGTTCAGTTCTAGTTCAGTTCTAGTTCAGTTCTAGTTCAGTTCTAGTTCAGTTCTAGTTCAGTTCTAGTTCAGTTCTAGTTCAGTTCTAGTTCAGTTCTAGTTCAGTAGTTCAGTTCTAGTTCAGTTCTAGTTCAGTTCTAGTTCAGTTCTAGTTCAGTTCTAGTTCAGTTCTAGTTCAGTTCTAGTTCAGTTCTAGTTCAGTTCTAGTTCAGTTCTAGTTCAGTTCTAGTTCAGTTCTAGTTCAGTTCTAGTTCAGTTCTAGTTCAGTTCTAGTTCAGTTCTAGTTCAGTTCTAGTTCAGTTCTAGTTCAGTTCTAGTTCAGTTCTAGTTCAGTTCTAGTTCAGTTCTAGTTCAGTTCTAGTTCAGTTCTAGTTCAGTTCTAGTTCAGTTCTAGTTCAGTTCTAGTTCAGTTCTAGTTCAGTTCTAGTTCAGTTCTAGTTCAGTTCTAGTTCAGTTCTAGTTCAGTTCTAGTTCAGTTCTAGTTCAGTTCTAGTTCAGTTCTAGTTCAGTTCTAGTTCAGTTCTAGTTCAGTTCTAGTTCAGTTCTAGTTCAGTTCTAGTTCAGTTCTAGTTCAGTTCTAGTTCAGTTCTAGTTCAGTTCTAGTTCAGTTCTAGTTCAGTTCTAGTTCAGTTCTAGTTCAGTTCTAGTTCAGTTCTAGTTCAGTTCTAGTTCAGTTCTAGTTCAGTTCTAGTTTAGTTCTAGTTCAGTTCTAGTTCAGTTCTAGTTCAGATCTAGTTCAGTTCTAGTTCAGTTCTAGTTCAGTTCTAGTACAGTTCTAGTTCAGTTCTAGTTCAGTTCTAGTTCAGTTCTAGTTCAGTTCTAGTTCAGTTCTAGTTCAGTTCTAGTTCAGTTCTAGTTCAGTTCTAGTCAGTTCTAGTTCAGTTCTAGTTCAGTTCTAGTTCAGTTCTAGTTCAGTTCTAGTTCAGTTCTAGTTCAGTTCTAGTTCAGTTCTAGTTCAGTTCTAGTTCAGTTCTAGTTCAGTTCTAGTTCAGTTCTAGTTCAGTTCTAGTTCAGTTCTAGTTCAGTTCTAGTTCAGTTCTAGTTCAGTTCTAGTTCAGTTCTAGTTCAGTTCTAGTTCAGTTCTAGTTCAGTTCTAGTTCAGTTCTAGTTCAGTTCTAGTTCAGTTCTAGTTCAGTTCTAGTTCAGTTCTAGTTCAGTTCTAGTTCAGTTCTAGTTCAGTTCTAGTTCAGTTCTAGTTCAGTTCTAGTTCAGTTCTAGTTCAGTTCTAGTTCAGTTCTAGTTCAGTTCTAGTTCAGTTCTAGTTCAGTTCTAGTTCAGTTCTAGTTCAGTTCTAGTTCAGTTCTAGTTCAGTTCTAGTTCAGTTCTAGTTCAGTTCTAGTTCAGTTCTAGTTCAGTTCTAGTTCAGTTCTAGTTCAGTTCTAGTTCAGTTCTAGTTCAGTTCTAGTTCAGTTCTAGTTCAGTTCTAGTTCAGTTCTAGTTCAGTTCTAGTTCAGTTCTAGTTCAGTTCTAGTTCAGTTCTAGTTCAGTTCTAGTGCAGTTCTAGTTCAGTTCTAGTTCAGTTCTAGTTCAGTTCTAGTTCAGTTCTAGTTCAGTTCTAGTTCTAGTTCTAGTTCAGTTCTAGTTCTAGTTCAGTTCTAGTTCTAGTTCAGTTCTAGTTCAGTTTAGTTCAGTTCTAGTTCAGTTCTAGTTCAGTTCTAGTTCAGTTCTAGTTCAGTTCTAGTTCAGTTCTAGTTCAGTTCTAGTTCAGTTCTAGTTCAGTTCTAGTTCAGTTCTAGTTCAGTTCTAGTTCAGTTCTAGTTCAGTTCTAGTTCAGTTCTAGTTCAGTTCTAGTTCAGTTCTAGTTCAGTTCTAGTTCAGTTCTAGTTCAGTTCTAGTTCAGTTCTAGTTCAGTTCTAGTTCAGTTCTAGTTCAGTTCTAGTTCAGTTCTAGTTCAGTTCTAGTTCAGTTCTAGTTCAGTTCTAGTTCAGTTCTAGTTCAGTTCTAGTTCAGTTCTAGTTCAGTTCTAGTTCAGTTCTAGTTCAGTTCTAGTTCAGTTCTAGTTCAGTTCTAGTTCAGTTCTACTTCAGTTCAAGTTCAGTTCTAGTTCAGTTCTAGTTCAGTTCTAGTTCAGTTCTAGTGCAGTTCTAGTTCAGTTCTAGTTCAGTTCTAGTTCTGTTCTAGTTCTGTTCTAGTTCTGTTCTAGTTCAGATCTAGTTCAGTTCTAGTTCAGTTCTAGTTCAGTTCTAGTGCAGTTCTAGTTCTGTTCTAGTTCTGTTCTAGTTCTGTTCTAGTTCAGTTCTAGTTCAGTTCTAGTTCAGTTCTAGTTCTGTTCTAGTTCAGTTCTAGTTCAGTTTTAAAATCTTCTTTCCAAATTCTATACTTTTTAATACCACCAATTGTATCTTCCTTTGGAGTTGGTAAAACTAATAAATTAGAAATTATTTTCAATAAAAATGCTAATTTTGTTATAAAGACCCCCTTTGTATTTTATTAAATTTCCTTTTAAAATGATTTTAAATTAATTTAATGTCTCCCCAAAAAAATCAAATTTTAATAAAAATTTTATATTGTGCCATTTTCATTAATATAAATATATAATAAAATTCCAAATTAAATTAATTCAAGTGAAATACAATTAAATTAAGGGCTACAAAGCCTCTAATTTAATACAAACAAAAAAACAAGAAAAAAAATTAAAAAAAAAATAATTCAATAAAAATCGATACAGATCTTAATAGAAAAAAGAGAAAATCACAATATAGAATTAATACAAATACAGCAACAACAAAAAAGAAAAGTCCAGTGAATTTGTTTAGATATGTAGAAATAAAAACCGATTTTAAATGTGAATAAAAACAGCAAAAGAAAACTCAATATTCAACAAAACTTAATTAAGTAAAATCAAGGGAAGATAAAGGGGAGACCGACATAAATGTCAACAGACACAGCAGGAAACAGCACTTTACATCTACAGCCATAGAAAGAAACGCCAAGTAGAACAACCTCCTCGAAGAAGTTCACTGAAAAGAAACAAATTGAATTTAATAAACTTACAACAACATTTCGAGAAAGTAAAATGAGCAGCAGTACAACAACTGACTGAAAAACTAGTTGCAACAACTATGTCAATATAAAGGAAACAATGTAAACTTAATTACCACCACTACGACACAAGCAACAAAAATTGATTCCACCACAACATCAAAAATATATCAGCACTTCAAGCCCAACATCATCATCATCATCGTCATCAGCAATGCCATCCGTTTCCTCTCCCCACTTCTCATCATGAAGACGGAGAGAAAATCCTTAATGTTTCTGACTTAAGTACATCCCTGCAACATTTCGTGTGATGGACTATTGTGTTTTTGTTTTGATGTTAATCGTTTGTGCCGGTATTGGTTTTCTATTTTGGTTTTTATCGAAAAGAAGAAAAAGAAACAACCAAATATGGAAAAACGTCGTGCTCAGAGGCATTGGATTACTTGGTAGGTGGTCGTAAGATGAAAGTGTTTCCAGTATCTTTATCTTTGGTAGCCAGGTACGTTTTTCTTTCAATCAATTTGTTTTTCTTTCTTGCTTTAACGACATTTTAATTTGTTACATTACTTTGGTCTGCTTAATAAAGTGTTGATTTATCAGCTCTTATTAATAATTTATATATACATACATATTACATTAGGTTGGTGCAGTTTGAATGGGAAAAATTTCAGTTCTAGTTTTGTTTTAGTTCAGATCCTGTTCCAGTTCAGTTCTAGTTCAGTTCTAGTTCAGTTCTAGTTCAGTTCTAGTTCAGTTCTAGTCAGTTTCTAGTTCAGTTCTAGTTCAGTTCTAGTTCAGTAGTTCAGTTCTAGTTCAGTTTAGTTCAGTTCTAGTTCAGTTCTAGTTCAGTTCTAGTTCAGTTCTAGTTCAGTTCTAGTTCAGTTCTAGTTCAGTTCTAGTTCAGTTCTAGTTCAGTTCTAGTTCAGTTCTAGTTCAGTTCTAGTTCAGTTCTAGTTCAGTTCTAGTTCAGTTCTAGTTCAGTTCTAGTTCAGTTCTAGTTCAGTTCTAGTTCAGTTCTAGTTCAGTTCTAGTTCAGTTCTAGTTCAGTTCTAGTTCAGTTCTAGTTCAGTTCTAGTTCAGTTCTAGTTCAGTTCTAGTTCAGTTCTAGTTCAGTTCTAGTTCAGTTCTAGTTCAGTTCTAGTTCAGTTCTAGTTCAGTTCTAGTTCAGTTCTAGTTCAGTTCTAGTTCAGTTCTAGTTCAGTTCTAGTTCAGTTCTAGTTCAGTTCTAGTTCAGTTCTAGTTCAGTTCTAGTTCAGTTCTAGTTCAGTTCTAGTTCATTCTAGTTCAGTTCTAGTTCAGTTCTAGTTCAGTTCTAGTTCAGTTCTAGTTCAGTTCTAGTTCAGTTCTAGTTCAGTTCTAGTTCAGTTCTAGTTCAGTTCGTTCAGTTCTATTCAGTTCTAGTTCAGTTCTAGTTCAGTTCTAGTTCAGTTCTAGTTCAGTTCTAGTTCAGTTCTAGTTCAGTTCTAGTTCAGTTCTAGTTCAGTTCTAGTTCAGTTCTAGTTCAGTTCTAGTTCAGTTCTAGTTCAGTTCTAGTTCAGTTCTAGTTCAGTTCTAGTTCAGTTCTAGTTCAGTTCTAGTTCAGTTCTAGTTCAGTTCTAGTTCAGTTCAGTTCAGTTCTAGTTCAGTTCTAGTTCAGTTCTAGTTCAGTTCTAGTTCAGTTCTAGTTCAGTTCTAGTTCAGTTCTAGTTCAGTTCTAGTTCAGTTCTAGTTCAGTTCTAGTTCAGTTCTAGTTCAGTTCTAGTTCAGTTCTAGTTCAGTTCTAGTTCAGTTCTAGTTCAGTTCTAGTTCAGTTCTAGTTCAGTTCTAGTTCAGTTCTAGTTCAGTTCTAGTTCAGTTCTAGTTCAGTTCTAGTTCAGTTCAGTTCTAGTTCAGTTCTAGTTCAGTTCTAGTTCAGTTCTAGTTCAGTTCTAGTTCAGTTCTAGTTCAGTTCTAGTTCAGTTCTAGTTCAGTTCTAGTTCAATTCTAGTTCAGTTTTAGTTTAGTTCTAGTTCAGTTCTATTTTAGTTCTAAGTCAGTCAAGTTTCATTCTAGTTAAGTTGCAGTTCAGTTCTAGTTTAATTTTTATTAAAAACCTGGACCTACATTTCCTTCATTAAGCTAAAAGTTTTATTCCCTAAAGTATTTTATTCATAAATCACTTACATTGGATTTATTATCTCTCATTGAAATGACACATGTAGTTAAATTAGCTGCATTGTAAATCGTCTAAATATTTACTCCAAGGAATTGTCAATCGGATTTTATATTTAGTTTTTTTTAACAAATTTCTTTCTTATTAAAAATTACTTTCTTTTTGTAACACAAATACATCTTTCTCTTACATATTCTGTATAATAAAACTTTTTTCCTCAACACTGTCAATAAAAAATTTCAATTATATACCTATGCCGCTGCATAAGTTGTAAAAGTAATGAAAAATTCCATTAAATGACAATTTAAAACTCATTTACAAAAGAAAAGAAAATTAAACGAAAAAACTTTATATTCCCATTGTGCAAATTTACTAGCGCCCATATTGCGTTTTTAATAAAATTTTTGTAAAAAAAAAATTATGTGGACTTTTTGACAAATGTTAATTTATAAAATGACAACAGCATCATTATCACCATCATCGTCGTCATAATAAGATGAAGAATATAAATAAAAAACAGACCAAACATCAAAACCATAATAAGTCAGTCAAGTCGATGAGACTGGCCAGCAAATTGCTCCAGAGACCTGCATAATACCGACAGCCACACATAATAATTTACACATTTAAGAGTGTGAAAATCACTGAGAAAATATTTATTGGAATGGCTCTGGACAAAGTAAATAATGATGATGATGTTGTGTACACAGTGTAACATTTAATTGGAACTAAACAAGCTTTGGAGTAGATAGAACTGAACTAGAACTGAACTAGAACTGAACTAGAACTGCACTAGAACTGAACTAGAACTGAACTAGAACTGCACTAGAACTGAACTAGAACTGAACTAGAACTGAACTAGAACTGCACTAGAACTGAACTAGACTGAACTAGAACTGAACTAGAACTGAACTAGAACTGAACTGGAACTGAACTAGAACTGAACTAGAACTGAACTAGAACTGAACTAGAACTGAACTAGAACTGAACTAGAACTGAACTAGAACTGAACTAGAACTGAACTAGAACTGAACTAGAACTGAACTAGAACTGAACTAGAACTGAACTAGAACTGAACTAGAACTGAACTAGAACTGAACTAGAACTGAACTAGATCTGAACTAGAACTGAACTAGAACTGAACTAGAACTGAACTAGAACTGAACTAGAACTGAACTAGAACTGAACTAGAACTGAACTAGAACTGAACTAGAACTGAACTAGAACTGAACTAGAACTGAACTAGAACTGAACTAGAACTGAACTAGAACTGAACTAAACTGAACTAGAACTGAACTAGAACTGAACTAGAACTGAACTAGAACTGAACTAGAACTGAACTAGAACTGAACTAGAACTGAACTAGAACTGAACTAGAACTGAACTAGAACTGAACTAGAACTGAACTAGAACTGAACTAGAACTGAACTAGAACTGAACTAGAACTGAACTAGAACTGAACTAGAACTGAACTAGAACTGAACTAGAACTGAACTAGAACTGAACTAGAACTGAACTAGAACTGAACTAGAACTGAACTAGAACTGAACTAGAACTGAACTAGAACTGAACTAGAACTGAACTAGAACTGAACTAGAACTGAACTAGAACTGAACTAGAACTGAACTAGAACTAAACTAGAACTGAACTAGAACTGCACTAGAACTGAACTAGAACTGAACTAGAACTGAACTAGAACTGAACTAGAACTGAACTAGAACTAGAACTGAACTAGAACTGAACTAGAACCGAACTAGAACTGAACTAGAACTGAACTAGAACTGAACTAGAACTGAACTAGAACTGAACTAGAACTGAACTAGAACTGAACTAGAACTGAACTAGAACTGAACTAGAACTGAACTAGAACTGAACTAGAACTGAACTAGAACTGAACTAGAACTTAACTAGAACTGAACTAGAACTGAACTAGAACTGAACTAGAACTGAACTAGAACTGAACTAGAACTGAATTAGAACTGAACTAGAACTGAACTAGAACTGAACTAGAACTGAACTAGAACTGAACTAGAACTGAACTAGAACTGAACTAGAACTGAACTAGAACTGAACTAGAACTGAACTAGAACTGAACTAGAACTGAACTAGAACTGAACTAGAACTGAACTAGAACTGACTAAAGAACTGAACTAGAACTGAACTAGAACTGAACTAGAACTGAACTAGAACTGAACTAGAAACTGAACTAGAAACTGAACTAGAACTGAACTAGAACTGAACTAGAACTGAACTAGAACTGAACTAGAATTGAACTAGAACTCAACAATAGTTCAAACTAAAATAAACGTCCTTCATTCGGAGCAAATTTTCAATGAATTCACTTTTAGGCCCAAATATCTTTGTTGCCCTGTGCTGTGGTTTTTCATTATACGCTTATAAATAAACAAACAAATTTATTTTGCCTTAAGTTAAAATAAATTTACTAAGTGTTAAATTTTATGCAAGTTTGTTTTGTTTGTCCATTTTTTTTGCAATTTATTTGTATGTATGGAGGTAATTTATTAGGGCCAATAATGGTCAGGACTTTTTATAAATAAGTCTGGTTAAGTGTCGTGTTCTTTTTTTGTTTGTTTTGCTCTCTCAAACAGATTTCATGGTCAGGGTCAAGTTTATTATATTATTTTTATTAGCAAAACAAAACCTCAAACCGAAATCCCACAAACAGATTTCTACGAAATAAAATTATTAACTAAGGGTATAGGAAAAGGACCTACTAAACACACATAAAATAAAAAACTTTTCGTTTACACACCAAATTACGGGCATAATCAAACAAACAGCAAACATTTTCTTCTATAACAAATGTAAATTGTTGTTAATATTTTTGAAAAAAAATACTGCAAAAAAACTAGAAAAACCCAAATATAATGTGCAAATAACTTTAATGACCTAAAGGCTGGAAAAAAAGAACTATAGACAGGTCTATGTGGTAGAAGAAATTTTTAATTCAAATGTATATTAATATAAACCTCACAACAGCTATTCTGTAAAAGGGGTCATTGTACCTTGGTTTAGGCAATTTGATTTAACTTCATTGTGTTTGGTACGTGAATGTCATACAATACCTACTTAAGGAAAAAATCTTTTTCAATTTGTGTTAATAATTTGGAATTGAAATTGTACAAGTGTTAAATATTTTTTATTAACTTAAACATATTGAAGAATTTCAAAGAATACGGGACAAATTAGTAATATATAAAACCGAAGCCGAATATTTTAGTCAAATCGATTTATCCTATTTCAGTTCTAGCTCAGCTGTAGTTAAGTTCTAGTTTACTCCAAGTTTATTACCAGTTCAGTTCTAGTTCAGTTTTAGTTCAGTTCTAGTTCAGTTCTAGTTCAGTTCTAGTTCAGTTCTAGTTCATTCTAGTTCAGTTCTAGTTTAGTTCTAGTTCAGTTCTAATTCAGTTCTAGTTCAGTTCTAGTTCAGTTCTAGTTCAGTTCTAGTTCAGTTCTAGTTCAGTTTTAGTTCAGTTCTAGTTCAGTTCTAGTTCAGTTCTAGTTCAGTTCTAGTTCAGTTCTAGTTCAGTTCTAGTTCAGTTCTAGTTCAGTTCTAGTTCAGTTCTAGTTCAGTTCTAGTTCAGTTCTAGTTCAGTTTCTAGTTCAGTTCTAGTTCAGTTCTAGTTCAGTTCTAGTTCAGTTCTAGTTCAGTTCTAGTTCAGTCTAGTTCAGTTCTAGTTCAGTTCTAGTTCAGTTCTAGTTCAGTTCTAGTTCAGTTCTAGTTCAGTTCTGGTTCAGTTCTAGTTCAGTTCTAGTTCAGTTCTAGTTCAGTTCTAGTTCAGTTCTAGTTCAGTTCTAGTTCAGTTCTAGTTCAGTTCTAGTTCAGTTCTAGTTCAGTTCTAGTTCAGTTCTAGTTCAGTTCTAGTTCAGTTCTAGTTCAGTTCTAGTTCAGTTCTAGTTCAGTTCTAGTTCAGTTCTAGTTCAGTTCTAGTTCAGTTCTAGTTCACTTCTAGTTCAGTTCTAGTTCAGTTCTAGTTCAGTTTTAGTTCAGTTCTAGTTCAGTTCTAGTTCAGTTCTAGTTCAGTTCTAGTTCAGTTCTAGTTCAGTTCTAGTTCAGTTCTAGTTCAGTTCTAGTTCAGTTCTAGTTCAGTTCTAGTTCAGTTCAGTTCAGTTCTAGTTCAGTTTTAGTTCAGTTCTAGTTCAGTTCTAGTTCAGTTCTAGTTCAGTTCTAGTTCTAGTTCAGTTCTAGTTCAGTTCTAGTCAGTTCTAGTTCAGTTCTAGTTCAGTTCTAGTTCAGTTTCTAGTTCAGTTCTAGTTCAGTTCTAGTTCAGTTCTAGTTCAGTTCTAGTTCAGTTCTAGTTCAGTTCTAGTTCAGTTCTAGTTCAGTTCTAGTTCAGTTCTAGTTCAGTTCTAGTTCAGTTCTAGTTCAGTTCTAGTTCAGTTCTAGTTCAGTTCTAGTTCAGTTCTAGTTCAGTTCTAGTTCAGTTCTAGTTCAGTTCTAGTCAGTTCTAGTTCAGTTCTAGTTCAGTTCTAGTTCAGTTCTAGTTCAGTTCTAGTTCAGTTCTAGTTCAGTTTAGTTCAGTTCTAGTTCAGTTCTAGTTCAGTTCTAGTTCAGTTCTAGTTCAGTTCTAGTTCAGTTCTAGTTCAGTTCTAGTTCAGTTCTAGTTCAGTTCTAGTTCAGTTCTAGTTCAGTTCTAGTTCGTTCTAGTTCAGTTCTAGTTCAGTTCTAGTTCAGTTCTAGTTCAGTTCTAGTTCAGTTCTAGTTCAGTTCTAGTTCAGTTCTGTTCTAGATGTTCCAGCTTTTGATCAGTTGTATTTCTGACATCAGTGTTAAATGAGTTAACTAAAGTGTTCCGTTTCAGGATCTATGGTATTTTTTGTGGGGAAAGATAAAATACAGTATTGTTTTATACACATAATTATTTTTCACCTTTATTAAGTCTGTTTTCTCATTCTTTTAAAAATTTGGTCTTTATTCATTTTATTGCTTTAAACGTTCATTATTACTTTCATTCATTAAATAACTTCGAATGACCTTTCGAAGAGAAACAAAGACGTCTTTAAGGGTCTAAAAAACAAATAGAAATATTTAAAATCTCAACACAATTTAAAAAAGGTTTACAAGAGGAATAAAGAAATATATATTTCTATATATAAATAAAGAAAATATTTTTTGAAATTCAACTAACGTGTTTGGAATTCTAATTACTGTTGAGCAGTTTTTTTAAACGTTTGTAAATTTTGCTTTAATGTTTTTTTGTTTTCATACTTTTTTGGTGCCTAAAATTTTGTAGAATTTGCCCAAGGATTTTCTTGGTTTTTATTGCATTTGTAGAGTGAGTTTGTTCTATTGGGAGTCGAATGATGGTGTATAAAAATAGAAAGAATAATGCGAGATATCATGCTATGCAAATATGTTATTATTCTATTTTTCTTGAAATTATTTCAAATGCTATTTTGAAAACGTGACAAAATTAAATAGTTTTATGAACATTTTTCTAAACAATTCAAGGAAATAAAGAATTACATACTGTGATGGCTTTTTTTTTTCAACTAATTCGTTTATGTACTAAAAAATTATGTTTTTTTTTAATTATATTTAAAAATATTTTAAAAGAAAATTGTTTTCTTCATAAAGGTAACATCTAAAAAACTCTCCTTCCCTTAACACCTGATTTCCATGGAATTTGTTTTGATTTTTTCGCAATTATTCCACTCAGTTTAATAACTTTAGCTAACATTCTTAGACTAACATTTCATTACTTTTATCTCATTCTATAAAAATACCGCTAAAAGAAATCCCTTAATTATCTATAATTTTCTTTTATTCCAGTTTCGTTTCTGGCATCTCCCTGTTGGGTACATCCACCGAGATTTATGTTTATGGTACCCAATATGCTTTCATCTTAGTGACATTGGCATTGTCTGGCGTCATTTCGTGGTACATCTTCTTGCCCGTTTTTCTGTAATTTACAATTGACATCGACGTATGAGGTAAGTGAAGCACAATTTCTTTTTATAAATTCAGCGAAAAGAAATGCTCATTTTAATTGTTTATATTGTTGTAGTTTTTTTGCTTGCTATATTTAAATTTATATACCCTACCCTACACCAAAACTGAAGATTTTGAAACACTAAAAAAGCAGTATATAACAAATCTTATGATCTTAATTTAATCAAATCTGTCCAGTTGTTCTGTATAATTTGTGACGTAATTACAAAACTGTAATTTAAGGGTTCCTTAAATTCAGCTACAGTTAAGCTCAGTTCTAGTTCAGGACTAATTCAGTTGTAGTTTAGTTTAGTTTAGTTTAGTTCTAGTTTAGTTATAGTTCAGTTCTAGTTCAGTTCTAGTTCAGTTCTAGTTCAGTTCTAGTTCAGTTCTAGTTCAGTTCTAGTTCAGTTCTAGTTCAGTTCTAGTTCAGTTCTAGTTCAGTTCTAGTTCAGTTCTAGTTCAGTTCTAGTTCAGTTCTAGTTTAGTTCAGTTCTAGTTCAGTTCTAGTTTAGTTCTAGTTCAGTTCTAGTTCAGTTCTAGTTCAGTTCTAGTTCAGTTCTAGTTCAGTTCTAGTTCAGTTCTAGTTCAGTTCTAGTTCAGTTCTAGTTCAGTTCTAGTTCAGTTCTAGTTCAGTCCTAGTTAAGTTTAAATTCAGTTCTAGTTCAGTTCAGTTCAGTTCTAGTTCAGTTCTAGTTCAGTCCTAGTTAAGTTTAAATTCAGTTCTAGTTCAGTTCTAGTTCAGTTCTAGTTCAGTTCCAGTTCAGTTCTAGTTCAGTTCTAGTTCAGTTCTAGTTCAGTTCTAGTTCAGTTCTAGTTCAGTTCTAGTTCAGTCCTAGTTAAGTTTAAATTCAGTTCTAGTTCAGTTCTAGTTCTAGTTCAGTTCTAGTTCAGTTCTAGTTCAGTTCTAGTTCAGTTCTAGTTCAGTTCTAGTTCAGTTCTAGTTCAGTTCTAGTTCAGTTCTAGTTCAGTTCTAGTTCAGTTTCTAGTTCAGTTCTAGTTCAGTTCTAGTTCAGTTCTAGTTCAGTTCTAGTTCAGTTCTAGTTCAGTTCTAGTTCAGTCCTAGTTCAGTTCTAGTTCAGTTCTAGTTCTAGTTCAGTTCTAGTTCAGTTCTAGTTCAGTTCTAGTTCAGTTCTAGTTCAGTTCTAGTTCAGTTCTAGTTCAGTTCTAGTTCAGTTCTAGTTCAGTTCTAGTTCAGTTCTAGTTCAGTTCTAGTTCAGTTCTAGTTCATTCTAGTTCAGTTCTAGTTCAGTTCTAGTTCAGTTCTAGTTCAGTTCTAGTTCAGTTCTAGTTCAGTTCTAGTTCAGTTCTAGTTCAGTTCTAGTTCAGTTCTAGTTTCAGTTCTAGTTCAGTTCTAGTTCAGTTCTAGTTCAGTTCTAGTTCAGTTCTAGTTCAGTTCTAGTTCAGTTCTAGTTCAGTTCTAGTTCAGTTCTAGTTCACTTCTAGTTCACTTCTAGTTCAGTTCTAGTTCAGTTCTAGTTCAGTTCTAGTTCAGTTCTAGTTCAGTTCAGTTCTAGTTCAGTTCTAGTTCAGTTCTAGTTCAGTTCTAGTTCAGCTCTAGTTCAGTTCTAGTTCAGTTCTAGTTCACTTCTAGTTCAGTTCTAGTTCAGTTCTAGTTCAGTTCTAGTTCAGTTTCTAGTTCAGTTCTAGTTCAGTTCTAGTTCAGTTCTAGTTCAGTTCTAGTTCAGTTCTAGTTCAGTTCTAGTTCAGTTCTAGTTCAGTTCTAGTTCAGTTCTAGTTCAGTCCTAGTTAAGTTTAAATTCAGTTCTAGTTCAGTTCTAGTTCAGTTCTAGTTCAGTTAGTTCAGTTCTAGTTCAGTTCTAGTTCAGTTCTAGTTCAGTTCTAGTTCAGTTCTAGTTCAGTTCTAGTTCAGTTCTAGTTCAGTTCTAGTTCAGTTCTAGTTCAGTTCTAGTTCAGTTCTAGTTCAGTTCTAGTTCAGTTCTAGTTCAGTTCTAGTTCAGTTCTAGTTCAGTTCTAGTTCAGTTCTAGTTCAGTTCTAGTTCAGTTCTAGTTCTAGTTCAGTTCTAGTTCAGTTCTAGTTCAGTTCTAGTCAGTTCTAGTTCAGTTCTAGTTCAGTTCTAGTTCAGTTCTAGTTCAGTTCTAGTTCAGTTCTAGTTCAGTTCTAGTTCAGTTCTAGTTCAGTTCTAGTTCAGTTCGTTCAGTTCTAGTTCAGTTCTAGTTCAGTTCTAGTTCAGTTCTAGTTCAGTTCTAGTTCAGTTCTAGTTCAGTTCTAGTTCAGTTCTAGTTCAGTTCTAGTTCAGTTCTAGTTCAGTTCTAGTTCAGTTCTAGTTCAGTTCTAGTTCAGTTCTAGTTCAGTTCTAGTTCAGTTCTAGTTCAGTTCTAGTTCAGTTCTAGTTCAGTTCTAGTTCAGTCTAGTTCAGTTCTAGTTCAGTTCTAGTTCACTTCTAGTTCAGTTCTAGTTCAGTTCTAGTTCAGTTCTAGTTCAGTTCTAGTTCAGTTCTAGTTCAGTTCTAGTTCAGTTCTAGTTCAGTTCTAGTTCAGTTCTAGTTCAGTTCTAGTTCAGTTCTAGTTCAGTTCTAGTTCAGTTCTAGTTCAGTTCTAGTTCAGTTCTAGTTCAGTTCTAGTTCAGTTCTAGTTCAGTTCTAGTTCTAGTTCAGTTCTAGTTCAGTTCTAGTTCAGTTCTAGTTCAGTTTCTAGTTCAGTTCTAGTTCAGTTCTAGTTCAGTTCTAGTTCAGTTCTAGTTCAGTTCTAGTTCAGTTCTAGTTCAGTTCTCGTTCAGTTCTAGTCAGTTCTAGTTCAGTCGTTCTAGTTCTAGTTATAGTTCAGTTCTAGTTCACTTCTAGTTCAGTTCTAGTTCAGTTCTAGTTCAGTTTTTAGTTCAGTTCTAGTTCAGTTCTAGTTCAGTTCTAGTTCAGTTCTAGTTCAGTTCTAGTTCAGTTTCTAGTTCAGTTCTAGTTCAGTTCTAGTTCAGTTCTAGTTCAGTTCTAGTTCAGTTCTAGTTCAGTTCTAGTTCAGATTCTAGTTCAGTTTTAGTTCAGTTCTAGTTCAGTTCTAGTTCAGTTCTAGTTCAGTTCTAGTTCTAGTTCAGTTCTAGTTCAGTTCTAGTTTCAGTTCTAGTTCAGTTCTAGTTCAGTTCTAGTTCAGTTCTAGTTCAGTTCTAGTTCAGTTCTAGTTCAGTTCTAGTTCAGTTCTAGTTCAGTTCTAGTTCAGTTCTAGTTCAGTTCTAGTTCAGTTCTAGTTCAGTTCTAGTTCAGTTCTAGTTCAGTTCTAGTTCAGTTCTAGTTCAGTTCTAGTTCAGTTCTAGTCTAGTTCGTAGTTCAGTTCTAGTTCAGTTCTAGTTCAGTTCTAGTTCAGTTCCAGATCAGTTCTAGTCCAGTTCTTGTACAGTTCTAGTTCAGTTCTAGTTCTAGTTCAGTTCTAGTTCAGTTTAAGTTTTTGTATCATTTCACGATCAGTTTCAGTTCAGAGCTTTTTGTAGTTCCTTAAATAAGTAATAAAAAAGAAGCTTCAGATCGTAATTTGGTGTTAGAGTATACAAAAGTCGTTCATACACGACTTTAAATTTTGCTTCATATTTGTTTAATTGGCTTTAAAAAATAATTGGCTTGTATATTTGCTTTTTTGATTTTTTTTTTTTTGCATATCTGTATATATTTACATACACTTTTTTCTTAAAGACATACATGTGGCACTTTGAAAAACGCTTCCAATAGCTAATTGTATTTAAAAAAATATGATATTATTTAAATAATTATATTTTCTTTATTATTTTATTATGCTTTTTTTTGCACATTTTTTATTTATATTTGTATATAACAGCTTTAAATGTAAAACCTTTGAGTGGTATTTGTTTATATTTAATTTATAAATTTTTTTTATATTTATACAATATTTCTTGTGATTTCTTTTTGAAAACAAAAAAATATTGTTGTTTCTTTACCCCTAAACGTCTGCTTTTATTATCAGCTGTCGATTTGTTGGCTGCGGCTGGCGCAGGCAGCAGTACATTGACATGAACTTGACGATGAACTTTGAGATTCTTTTTGAGAATCATTATCATCATTCTTCGTCATCGTTGTACATTATTATCATCTAATTCAACAGCTCCACCATTGAAAACATGACTTTCTTCATTATCATCAACATCGTCAAGTGATGTGTAGTATAGGGAATTGAAATTATTTTAAACGATTTTTTATACTGTATATTTTCTATTTGATTTATTTTTATTAGAACGTTGTATATTAGATTTATATACTCTTAGTAGCGGAGAAAAAACAACCAAGTATTCCCTAGAGTAAAATTAATGTTTATTTTGTGGGATTTTTTGTGTCTTCTATTTAATTTTTTTTTCAATAATTGATTAATATATTTAATGCAAATTCAACTTAAAACACGATTAAATAGAATCTAAAGTATGTATGTATGTGCAAAATGTACACAATTTTGGCTTCTTTTCAATTTGTATTTGTTCTTGTAGCGTTTTAATCATTATTTAATTAAATATTGAAATAACTCTCTTCTTGAGTTCCATTTAAGATCTAATTCAATTCTAGTTAAATTCTAGATCAGTTCTACTTCAGTCCTAGTTAAGTTTTAGTTCAGTTCTAGTTTAGTTCTAGTTCAGTTCTAGTTCAGTTCTAGTTCAGTTCTAGTTCAGTTCTAGTTCAGTTCTAGTTCAGTTCTAGTTCAGTTCTAGTTCAGTCCTAGTTAAGTTTAAATTCAGTTCTAGTTCAGTTCTAGTTCAGTTTTAGTTCAGTTCTAGTTCAGTTCTAGTTCAGTTCTAGTTCAGTTCTAGTTCAGTTCTGGTTCAGTTCTAGTTCAGTTTCTAGTTCAGTTCTAGTTTCAGTTCTAGTTCAGTTCTAGTTCAGTTCTAGTTCAGTTCTAGTTTAGTTCTAGTTCAGTTCTAGTTCAGTTCTAGTTCAGTTCTAGTTCTAGTTCAGTTCTAGTTCAGTTCTAGTTCAGTTCTAGTTCAGTTCTAGTTCAGTTCTAGTTCAGTTCTAGTTCAGTTCTAGTTCAGTTCTAGTTTAGTTCTAGTTCAGTTCTAGTTCAGTTCTAGTTCAGTTCTAGTCAGTTCTAGTTCAGTTCTAGTCAGTTCTAGTTCAGTTCTAGTTCAGTTCTAGTTCAGTTCTAGTTCAGTTCTAGTTCAGTTCTAGTTCAGTTCTAGTTCAGTTCTAGTTCAGTTCTAGTTCAGTTCTAGTTCAGTTCTAGTTCAGTTCTAGTTCAGTTCTAGTTCAGTTCTAGTTCAGGTTCAGTTCTAGTTCAGTTCTAGTTCAGTTCTAGTTCAGTTCTAGTTCAGTTCTAGTTCAGTTCTAGTTCAGTTCTAGTTCAGTTCTAGTCAGTTCTAGTTAGTTCAGTTTCTAGTTCAGTTCTAGTTCAGTTCTAGTTCAGTTCTAGTTCAGTTCTAGTTCAGTTCTAGTTCAGGTTCTAGTTCAGTTCTAGTTCAGTTCTAGTTCAGTTCTAGTTCTAGTTCAGTTCTAGTTCAGTTCTAGTTCAGTTTCAGTTCAGTTTCTAGTTCAGTTCTAGTTCAGTTCTAGTTCAGTTCTAGTTCAGTTCTAGCTCAGTTCTAGTTCAGTTCTAGCTCAGTTCCTAGTTAAGTTTAGTTCAGTCTAGTCAGTCTAGTTCAGTTCTAGTTCAGTTCTAGTTCAGTTCTAGTTCAGTTCTAGTTCAGTTTCTAGTTCAGTTCTAGTTCAGTTCTAGTTCAGTTCTAGTTCAGTTCTAGTTCAGTTCTAGTTCAGTTCTAGTTCAGTTTCTAGTTCAGTTCTAGTTCAGTTCTAGTTAGTTCAGTTCTAGTTCAGTTCTAGTTCAGTTCTAGTTCAGTTCTTTCAGTTCTAGTTCAGTTCTAGTTCAGTTCTAGTTCATTCTAGTTCAGTTCTAGTTCAGTTCTAGTTCAGTTCTAGTTCAGTTCTAGCTCAGTCCTAGTTAAGTTTAAATTCAGTTCTAGTTCAGTTCTAGTTCAGTTCTAGTTCAGTTCTAGTTCAGTTCTAGTTCAGTTCTAGTTCAGTTCTAGTTCAGTTCTAGTTCAGTTCTAGTTCAGTTCTAGTTCAGTTCTAGTTCAGTTCTAGTTCAGTTCTAGTTCAGTTCTAGTTCAGTTCTAGTTCAGTTCTAGTTCAGTTCTAGTTCAGTTCTAGTTCAGTTCTAGTTCAGTTCTAGTTCAGTTCTAGTTCAGTTCTAGTTCAGTTCTAGTTCAGTTCTAGTTCAGTTCTAGTTCAGTTCTAGTTCAGTTCTAGTTCAGTTCTAGTTCAGTTCTAGTTCAGTTCTAGTTCAGTTCTAGTTCAGTTCTAGTTCAGTTCTAGTTCAGTTCTAGTTCAGTTCTAGTTCAGTCTCAGTTCTAGTTCAGTTCTAGTTCAGTTCAGTTCTAGTTCAGTTCTAGTTCAGTTCTAGTTCAGTTCTAGTTCAGTTCTAGTTCAGTTCTAGTTCAGTTCTAGTTCAGTTCTAGTTCAGTTCTAGTTCAGTTCTAGTTCAGTTAGTTCAGTCTAGTCAGTTCTAGTTCAGTTCTAGTTCAGTTCTATTAAAGTTTTTTAGTCAATTATTACTCAATTCTAGTTCAGTTCCTGATAAGATCTAGTTCGTTTCAAGTTCAGTTACTATTCAGTTGTATAACATAAACTTTGTAATTTATATTTGTTGAATAAATATAAAACACTCGATTTCCTTCTCTAACGTTTTGAAATAACTTTTAAACAATGTTTAAAAAAAAAAAAATAACGTTTAACTTCGGTTTAAGTGCAATTTCCTTCTATTTGTTCCTTTTAATTTAAGTTGTTCTAAAAAAAAAGAAAACAAAGAAATATGTTTGAGAAATAATTGTAACACAAAACATACATAATATTTTACAGTACTTCGAAATGCGTTTCGGTAAAACAATACGTTTAATGGGCTCCATACTTTTCTCCATCGGCACGGTGAGTAATTTTCAATTGAACTTTTCTATTGCTTATTGTGAATAAAGCTATTTAATTGTTTGTTTCTCCTTTTTTTCTTTTTCTCTCTTTTCTACTTTTTACTAAAATTCTTTATCGAAAACAACTGCTAACAATTCCATATCCGGCGGAATGTATGAAACGGTACGAAACCTTAACTATTCAATGGTATTTTACTTTTTATGATGGTGGATGTATGTGTGGGTGTTGTAATGGGCTGACTGGTTTACATTCGTTCAGCTTATTTGGTTGCCCATAGTGATTTATGTACCAGCATTGGCGTTCAATCAAGGTAAAGTAAAGCATTTCTGTTTTATCATTTTAAAAGAATTTTTCTTTGAGTTATTTTTTTTAATGGTCATTTCCTTTTGGTTTTGTTTTCAGTAACTGGCGTCAATATTCATATTATAACACCGGTATATGTTTGGTGTGCATGTTCTATACATGTGTGGTACGTTGAACTTGTTTACCATGTTTTATCCTAGCCTAGTTCTAGTTCAGTTGTAGTTCAGTTTGTAGTTCAGTTGTAGTTCAGGTTTTAGTTCAGATTGTAGTTCAGTTTCTAGTCAGTTCTAGTTCAGTTCTAGTTCAGTTCTAGTTCAGTTCTAGTTCAGTTCTAGTTCAGTTTCTAGTTCAGTTCTAGTTCAGTTCTAGTTCAGTTCAGTTCCTAGTTCAGTTCTAGTTCAGTTCTAGTTCAGTTCTAGTTCAGTTCTAGTTCAGTTTCTAGTTCAGTTCTAGTTCAGTTCTAGTTCAGTTTCTAGTGTCAGTTCTAGTTCAGTTCTAGTTCAGTTCTAGTTCAGTCTAGTTCAGTTCTAGTTCAGTTCTAGTTCAGTTCTAGTTCAGTTCTAGTTCAGTTCAGTTCTAGTTCAGTTCTAGTTCAGTTCTAGTTCAGTTCTAGTTCAGTTCTAGTTCAGTTCTAGTGTCAGTTCTAGTTCAGTTCTAGTTCAGTTTCTAGTTCAGTTCTAGTTCAGTTCTAGTTCAGTTCTAGTTCAGTTCTAGTTCAGTTCTAGTTCAGTTCTAGTTCAGTTCTAGTTCAGTTCTAGTTCAGTTCTAGTTCAGTTCTAGTTCAGTTCTAGTTCAGTTCTAGTTCAGTTCTAGTTCAGTTCTAGTTCAGTTCTAGTTCAGTTCTAGTTCAGTTCTAGTTTCAGTTCTAGTTCAGTTTCTAGTTCAGTTCTAGTTCAGTTCTAGTTCAGTTCTAGTTCAGTTCTAGTTCAGTTCTAGTTCAGTTCTAGTTCTAGTTCTAGTTCAGTTCTAGTTAGTTCAGTTCTAGTTCAGTTCTAGTTCAGTTCTAGTTAGTTCTAGTTCAGTTCTAGTTTCAGTTCTAGTTTCAGTTCTAGTTCAGTTCTAGTTCAGTTCTAGTTCAGTTCTAGTTCAGTTCTAGTTCAGTTCTAGTTCAGTTCTAGTTCAGTTCTAGTTCAGTTCTAGTTCAGTTCTAGTTCAGTTCTAGTTCAGTTGTATTTCATTTCTAGTTCAGTTTCAGTTCATTTATAGTTCAGTTTTTAAGACACATTATTCTTTACAGGGTGGCCTTAAAGCTGTCATTTGGACCGATGTCATTCAAACAGTGATTATGATCGGTTCTATTGTCTTTGTCATAATTAAGGGAACCATTGATGTTGGTGGTTTTGATGTTGTATTTGAGAGGAATTGGAATACTGGACGTATTGAATTACCAGAGTAAGTTTATTTTTAAATGAATTAACTTTAAGAAGAATTATTGCATATAAATCCCTTTGTTTTCATTTAGAATGACTTGGGATCCCACAGCTCGTACCTCCATATTGTCCATGCTGTTGGGCACTACTTTGTGGTTTACCCAGGTTAGTTGCGGTAATCAGGTGATTGTGCAGCGTTATTTGTCGGTACCCTCCGTAAAAGAGGCCAAACAGGCCTGTATAATTTATACTTTGGGTGTAATATTGGTGCATGTGTTCACTTTCTATAATGGTCTCTTGATATTTGCCAATTATTATGATTGTGATCCTGTGACTACACAAGTAAGTTTGAATGTTTTGTTTGTTACTTAAAAATTTTGTTATTGATATAGTTTTTCACTTTAACAGTTAGCTAAAGCCAAGGATCAATTGGTGCCTTTGATGGTTATGAAAACCTTGGAATTTTTACCCGGTATGGCTGGCCTATTTGTGGCTGGTGTCTTTAGTGCGGCTCTTAGTTCTCTATCAACTGGTCTTAACTCATTGGCTGCTGTATTCTTGGAGGATTATATTAAACCTTATCGCAAGACGGCCTTGACTGAAAGTCAAACCGCCATTATAATGCGTTTGATCGTAGTGTTTGTGGGTGTGTTGAGTGTGGCTTTGGTGTTTGTGGTGGAATATTTAGGTCATGCTGTTCTACAGTTATCAGCCACTTTGTCTTCGGTGACCGGTGGTCCCTTGCTAAGTTTATTCTTAATGGGTCTTTTAATGCCCTGGATTAATTCAAGGGTATTAAGTTCGATCGATTTGCATAAATACAAATTAGTTTATATATTTACTTTTAATATTCTATCTAGACTGCCATTTCTGGTTGTGTAATTTCCTTCGCTGTCATGAGCTGGATCTGTGTAAGAGGTCAAGTGGCCTTGGCTACGGGAGAATTAGTTTATGCTGAAAAACCTGTCTCCACTGAGGGATGTACTTATGATTTTGAACCTTTGTATACTTTAGCCAATAAAACCATTACAGATACAGTAGAAACTAGGTAAATTATTAAGTTATTCTGAACTTTTTTTCTTATTTTATAGCATTTTTTTGTTTCAGTACAAAAACATTTGCCCAGTACATTTACACCATGTCTTTCACCTATTATACCGCTGTTGGTTGTGCCGTCTCCATGATCTTTGCCCATTTGGCCATCTTTATCTATGGACACAATGATGTGTCTAAAATGAATCGTAAACTGTTTGCTCCCTGCATACGTCGTTTCATCAAATCGAAAGAATATGAAACTGTCGAAAAAGAAGAAAAGCCTGTGATTGTATTCGACTTGAAAAGTGACTTAAAATCTTCAAAAGATTATAATGATTGATTTGTTAGAATGAATATTTTATTCTTTAATTATTGTTTTATTTATGTTAGAATTCTACTCTCTTTTGGGGAGAGTAATAAATGTTTTTGTTATTAGTATATATAAATGCAATTTTTTTTAAAAGTTTCGGGAGTTGTGAGAAAGTGGGAGATATTAAATTTATTTTTAATTATTTTTTTAAATTTTTTATGAATTTATGTTTTTAAAATTATTATTTTTTTTAATTTTACATCATACTTAATCTTCCATCCCTGACTCGTTTTATACCCTTCACCTTTGTGAGAAGGGTTTATCATTCCGTTTGCAATTTCTTCTATATAATTTTCGGACTGTATATATATTCTGAATCCTTATAGATAGCGGATTTGATTAAACTAAATCCTTCTTTCTGTCTGTCGGTCCGTCTGTATGTTTGTTGAAATCCATTTTCTGAAGGCCCACAATATTTTCGTGATTTTACGTTATACTCAATCTTCCATCCCTGACTCGTTTTATACCCTTCACCTTCGTGAGAAGGGAAAATAGAAGTTTATCATTCCGTTTGTAGTTTCTTCAACATCATTTTCCGACTCTATATATATTCTGAATTCTTATAGATAGTGGATTAGTTTAAACTATGTCTGTCTGTCCGTCTTTCCATTTTCAGAAATCCCAACAGAAGTCCCATTTTACATCATACTTAATCTTCTATCCCTGACTCGTTTTATCACCTTCGTGAGAAGGATATATCTACAATATAATTTTTCGATTCTATATATATTTTGGATCCTTATAGATAACGGATAAGATTAAACTATGTCCGTCTGTCCATCTTTATGTTTGTGGAAATCCATTTTCTGAAGACCCAACGATATCTTCATGATCCATATCTTCAATAATTTTGTCAGACAAGCTTTCGAGAAGATCGCTATATAAAATCAGCTAAATCGGTCCATAAATAATGAGGATATGAGCATAAAACCGAGACAACAAAACAGAACAAAATGTTACGTATGAAGCTCTGTGTATTGTTATTGTTTTGTTAGTGTCAAAATCAAAGATGGAAAATTGCGTGTAGGAAATTAAACCGGGAAGGGGGAGAAAAATTTTTTTAATTTGGAATATTAAAATTGATAATGGGGTGTTATTTATAACTCTGGAACCTATTTTTGGTACAAAGTGAACTTGATCTATAATTACAAATGTTATATTATTATATTAACCCTTTAAGTGCCTGTGGCAGTGCATGACGATTTGGCCACAAAATTTTATAATTTGTTTAAGGAAAAAAAAAATCCACAAAAAAAGCACGTTTTGAAATGAAATTATTGCAGTTTAATATTTTTTACACTAAAAGCCTGCCAACAGCACGTATGTATTGTAATTACAACAACATTTCATATCTTAAATAAATATATTAATTTTATAAATTTTATTTTTTCAATTTTAAGTATTTTGAAATGCGTTTTGGCAAGTCTATACGTTACTTTTGTTCCATACTCTTCACAGTGGGAACGGTAAGTAGAAATATATGTTAAAATATAAAATTTAATCTAAAATATTTTTTTTTAACTTTTTCAAAAGATCTTATATCTACCGGTAGCCATGTATGTGCCTGCTTTGACTTTTAGTCAAGTTAGTGGTCTGGGAGTGCACACCATTACACCTGTGGTGTGTATAGTGTGTACATTTTACACCTGTGTGGTGAGTTTTAGAACAGAATGGATCTGCATATATGGAATAAAATTTGTATTTATGTTTAAAGGGTGGCTTGAAAGCTGTGGTTTGGACCGATGCTGTACAAAGTTTTGTTATGTATGGTACTATTTTGACGATTTGCATTAAAGGTACTTTGGATTTGGGTGGTTTGGTGGAAGTTGTAGATAGAAACTTAGAGGGAGGACGTTTGATATTTCCCACGTAAGAAAGTGTTCTATTAAAGTGATACTTTTACTTTATTACGTTTAATTTATAGAGCTTCCTGGGATCCTACTGTGCGTTTGTCCTGGTCCGCCATTTTAATAGGCAGTGTTTTACATAAGATCCAATCGAATGATGTTAATCAAATGTCTTTACAACGTTTCATGTCTTTACCCGATACGGGTAAAGTAAAGCAGTGTTTGATTTTATTCACCATTTTACTGATGTTTTTATTGTTTTGTTGCTGTTATATGGGCCTATTGACCTATGCCACCTATTATGATTGTGATCCTTTAAGCACCAAGGTAAGACCAATAATTACACTCTCTCGATTTTAAAATTACCATTCTCTCCTTTAATAGTTGGCCAAAGCTGATGATCAATTGCCCACCATATTGGTAATGCGTATATTGGGTTCGATACCCGGTTTGCCAGGACTTTTTGTAGCCGGTGTCTTTAGTGCTGCTTTGAGCTCTTTGTCTACTGGTTTAAATTCCATGGCCTGTGTTATTTCCGAGGATTTGGTGAAACCTTTTGTTAACTTAAGTGAAAAACAAAATGCTTTTCTCTTAAGATTTATAGTGGCATTTTTTGGTTTAAGCTGTATACCCATGGTCTTGTTGGTGGAAAAGATGGGCACCGTTTTGCAGCTGGCCACCATGATGGGTGCTGTGACCATGGGCCCTATATTAGGCTTTTATACTACCGGCATTTGTATGCCCTGGATTAATCAAAAGGTAAATTAGAAAAAAAAAAAAAAAATTAGTTTATAACTGTTTCCCTTTAATCTACTAGAGCTGTTTACTGGGTGGCCTAGTCTCCTTTATAACCCTTGGCTGGATTTGTATACAGGCCCAAATGGGTCAAATGAGTGGTGAGATAAGACATCCCAAATTGCCCATTTCTGTAGAAGGCTGTACTTATGGCTATGATAATGCCACCTATTGGGAGCGCCACAATTATACGTAAGTTTTCTATAACCTTAAATACATACACATTTTTTAATATATTTCTTCATTTTAGACCCTCTGAACGCAATATTTACCATCTATCCTTTATGTGGTATACCGGTATGGGTGGCATTATTGGTTGTGTGGTATCTAATATAGCGTGTTTATTTTTTGGTCGCTCCAAAGCTGAAGATATTAATCATGATCTCATATCGCCTGTGATACGTAAATATTTCCCTGAAATTCCCAAAGAAACTATTGTTATGACTGATGTACAGGATTTGAAAGAAAAAGAGCCTCTATATAGTGTAGATTTCGAACAAGATATCGCTGTTAGAAAACATTCTTTAGATAAAGTAGAATAATAAATAAAGCGAAATGAACTTAATGAAAAATCTTAAAATATCATTTTTTTTCTTGTTATGTTTTAAAGTGGTGTGGTGTCTGTATATATGTCGATGTATATATACATATCTGGTGCTGGTTGGTTTTCCTTATAACTCACTCAAAGTATGTTATTAGTTTAATACAAATTGGCTTTTTTAAACCCTTTCGAAATTCTATATGTTTTGCATATTTCTAGTATTTGGAAATGCGTTTTGATCGCAGACTACGTCTATTTGGTTCAATAATGTTTTTAGTTGGAATGGTAAGTAAAAGTCAATCCATATTTTTCTATCAGTTTCAGGTTAGGAAATTTCTGTTAATAATTGACAGAGTCTTCTATAATTAAGGTAATCATTAGTTCTGTTTATGGTTCAGTTCTAGTTTAATTATAGTTCATATTCAGATTCAGTGTTCTAGTTCATTCGAGGTCAGTCTAGTTCATTCTAGTTCAGTTCTAGTTCAGTTCTAGTTCAGTTCTAGTTCAGTTTCTAGTTCAGTTCTAGTTCAGTTCTAGTAGTCAGTTCTTAGTTCAGTTCTAGTTCAGTTCTAGTTCAGTTCTAGTTCAGTTCTAGTTCAGTTCTAGTTCAGTTCTAGTTCAGTTCTAGTTCAGTTCTAGTTCAGTTCTAGTTCAGTTCTAGTTCAGTTCTAGTTCAGTTCTAGTTCAGTTCTAGTTCAGTTCTAGTTCAGTTTTAGTTCAGTTCTTGTTCAGTTCTAGTTCAGTTCTAGTTCAGTTCTAGTTCAGTTCTAGTTCAGTTCTAGTTCAGTTCTAGTTCAGTTCTAGTTCAGTTCTATTTCAGTTCTAGTTCAGTTCTAGTTCAGTTCTAGTTCAGTTCTAGTTCAGTTCTAGTTCAGTTCTAGTTCAGTTCTAGTTCAGTTCTAGTTCAGTTCTAGTTCAGTTCTAGTTCAGTTCTAGTTCAGTTCTAGTTCAGTTCTAGTTCAGTTCTAGTTCAGTTCTAGTTCAGTTCTAGTTCAGTTCTAGTTCAGTTCTAGTTCAGTTCTAGTTCAGTTCTAGTTCAGTTCTAGTTTCTAGTTCAGTTCTAGTAGTCTAGTTAGTCAGTTCTAGTTCAGTTTCTAGTTTAGTTCTAGTTCAATTCAAGTTTAGTTCTAGTTAGTTCAATCCTGGTTCAGTTCTTATTTTCTGTTAAGAAACTGCTCTTAAAATTTTATTTATTTATCCAGACGTCCTAAGGTGTTGTTAAGTATTAATTCATTTCTTTTACACTTGATTATTATTTAGGTATTATGGCTGCCAATATCCATTTATGTACCGGCTTTAACATTTAATCAAGGTAATTTAATAATTGTCCAAATAACAAACAATACTAACTAACTATTTAAACTAAACTTATAATTGAACTAATTATGTGCTTAACATTTTAGTGACTGGCATCAATTTATATACAATTATACCAATTGTGTGTGTGGTTTGTACCATTTACACCTGCATTGTAAGTAGACAATGAAAATGTAAACGGTTATTGTGAGATAATTGTAGTTGTGATGATATAAATTGTAGGGCGGCATCAAGGGTGTTATATGGACAGATGTATTGCAGGGTTTTGTAATGGTGGGCTCATTGGTATTTGTGGCCATTAAGGGCACCATGGATGTGGGTGGTGTGGGTGAGGTTTATGACAGAAATAAAGAATCAGGCAGACTAGTGGCACCAGAGTAAGTTTGATGAAATATAAAGAGACTAAATTTTGTTTTTTTAAATATTTATATTTAAGGTGGACCTTTGATCCTACAGTGCGCATGGGTTTCTTCGCAGTATTTGTGGGAGGTACTTTATTAAAGTTGCAGGGTACTTGTATTCTACAACCAGCTGTGCAACGCTTTTTGTCGTTACCCAATATGGTGGCAGTTAAGAAATCTTTATATGCCTTTATTATCGGTCTGGTGTGTCTGCTGAGTTTGTGTATTTATTTGGGTCTTTTAGCTTTTGCCTCGTACTATGACTGTGATCCCATATCGACAGGGGTATGGTTATAGATTGTTAGAAAAGTAAAGTTTATTTTGAGTTTTTTATTTCAGCTGGTTCGCGCCAAAGACCAAATTGTCCCCTTATATGTTATGCAAATTGCTGGCTCTTTCCCCGGTGTTGGTGGGCTTTTTGTTTCGGGTGTATTTAGCGCCGCCTTGAGTTCTTTGTCGACGGTTCTAAATTCTTTATCTGGTGTGGTTTTGAAAGATTTTGTGGAACCTTATCGCAAGAAACCCTTTACAGAAAGACAAACTGCTATTATTTTAAGAGTAGTGGTATTGTTCTTTGGTGTATCAGCCATGGCCTTGGTTAAGGTGGTGGAGAAATTGGGTATGGTTATGCAATTGTCGGCTACTGTTAATTCTATATCCACGGGACCCATGTTGGGTGTTTTCACTGTAGGCATGACCATGCCTTTTGTTAAAACGGAGGTAGTTAATAAAGTATTTCACATTATTCTCTTATATTAACATTTTTATATTTAGAGCGTTTTAACCGGTTGCACTACTGCTGCACTGACCATGGCTTATGTAGCCATACGTTCCCAAATTGACAGTGCTACGGGGGTTTTGAAATTCCCCACTAAACCTGTTTCCGTAGAGGGTTGTACTTATGAGTTTGAGGCTTTAAATAAAACTATTTTAAGGTGAGTTTCTAATATATAATTTATAATAAAATAATAACAATTTAAATCTGTTGTTAATTTTATTCTTAGCACTCCAATACCGGAAACTTCTGGCAGTGCCTTCCATCATTTATCCTTTTTATGGTATACTGGCTTGGGAGCTGGTATCACTATTGTGGTGGCTCTTTTGGCAACTTTGTACTTTGGTAAACAAGACTCCGCAGAGGTTGATCCCAAGTTAATTACTCCCATTCTAAGAAAATATATGAACAAATATAAATACAGCAGTGTGGCCATGAATATGAATGAACTGGAAACAGTATTACAGGAAACTGTAGAAAATAATTGCTTGGAGGAATCGCAGGAACTTAAAGTTGAGAAAAATGGAATCAACTAGCGGATTTATAAAATGTGTTACTGCAACCATCTTGCTCTTTACAATTTCTTTATAAATTTAGAAAAATTTTAAATCTAATAAAATACAAATTGTTACAAAATATTTATTATTCAGCTTTTTATATATTTTATACTAATGTAACGAACTATGATGCGTATTAGTTATATTTGTTATATATAATGTATTAAATATAACTCATACGTAACCTTTACTAAGTAAATAATCAATTTTATTTTTACAGTTATCATTTCATTAAGGTGTGTGGTTTATAATGTCCCATTTAAGTGAAATTAAAAGAAATCTTTTAGAAATTCCGTTTTATCTTGTGTTCGTTTGTGAGGTGTTGGTATGACTTCTAATTGTTTGTGGTTTTATTGCCTTATTTTAAAAGACCCCTTTTAATACATTTACGATATCTGTATATTTTGATTATTTTTAGTATTTGGAAATGCGATTTGATCGCAGACTACGTCTATTTGGTTCTGTAATGTTTTTGCTTGGAGCGGTAAGTATTCTGTTAAGAAAATTGCTTGTTCTAGTTCTAGTGTAGTTCTAGTTTAAGTTTTAATTCAGTTCCAGTTTTAGTTCAGCTCTAGTTTAGTTCTAGTTCAGTTGTAGTTCAGTCGTAGTTCAGTTTTAAGTCAGTTGTAATTCAGTTCAAGTTCAATTGTATTTCAGTTGTAGTGCAGTTGTAGTTCAGATGTAATTCAGTTCTAATTCTGTTGTAGTTCAGTTGTAGTTCAATTATAGTGCAGTTGTAGTTAAGACGTAATTCAGTTCAAGTTCAGTTGTAGTTCATCTGTAGTTCAGTTGTAGTTCAGTTGAAGTTCAGTTGTAGTTCAGTTGTAGTTCAATTGTATTTCAGTTGTAGTGCAGTTGTAGTTCAGATGTAATTCAGTTCTAATTCAGTTGTAGTTCAGTTTTAGCTCAGTTGTAGTTCAGTTGTAGTTCAATTGTATTTCAGTTGTAGTGCAGTTGTAGTTCAGATGTAATTCAGGTTCTAATTCTGTTGTAGTTCAGATGTAATTTCAGTTCTAGTTCAGTTGTAGTTCAGTTGTAGTTCAGTTGTAGTTCAGTTGTAGTTCAGTTGTAGTACAGTTGTAATTCAGTTGTAGTTCAGATCTAATTCAGTTCTAGTTCAGTTGTAGTTCAGTTGCAGTACAGTTGTAATTCAGATGTAGTTCTAGTTCAGTTCTAGTTCAGTTCTAGTCTTCTAGTTCAAGTTCTAGTTCAGTTCTAGTTCAGTTCTAGTTCATTCAGTTCAGTCTAGTTCAGTTCTAGTTCAGTTCTAGTTCAGTTCTAGTTCAGTTTCTAGTTCAGTTCTAGTTCAGTTCTAGTTCAGTTCTAGTCAGTTAGTTCAGTTTCTAGTTCAGTTCTAGTTCAGTTCTAGTCAGTTCTAGTTCAGTTCTAGTTCAGTTCTAGTTCAGTTCTAGTTCAGTTCTAGTTCTAGTTCAGTCTAGTTCAGTTCTAGTTCAGTTCTAGTTTCAGTTCTAGTTCAGTTCTAGTTCAGTTCTAGTTCAGTTCTAGTTCAGTTCTAGTTCAGTTCTAGTTCAGTTCAGTCAGTTCTAGTTCAGTTCTAGTTCAGTTCTAGTTCAGTTCTAGTTCAGTTCTAGTTTAGTTCTAGTTCAGTTCTAGTTTCGCTTCTTGTTCAGTTCGTTCTTGTTCAGTTGTAATTCAGTTCTAGTTTAGTTTTGCTACAATTAACAACTGTTCTGTTAAATTGGTGTCAATAGACTGTACTTTCCTTTGGGAAAAGTTTTTTCGAATATATTATTTTAATTCTTAAAATTTTTCTGAAATTTTACTCTAGATGTTATGGTTGCCCATTTCGATTTATGTACCCGCTTTAACTTTCAATCAAGGTAATTTTGTACAAAATAAACTCTACTAGAACTAACAAATCATACTAATTATACATATGCTTTTAAAATTTTAGTTCTGGCATCAATTTGTATACCATATACCGGTAGTATGTTTGGTCTGCACAATTTATACCTGCATAGTAAGTAAAGGAGGAGAAAACTAAATTGAAAATTAAACTGATGCCCATTTTGTTTTTGTTTTAGGGAGGCATTAAGGGTGTAATATGGACAGATGTTTTACAGGGTTTCATTATGGTGGGTTCCTTGGCATTTGTGTCCATCAAAGGTACCATAGATGTGGGTGGTTTGGGTACAGTGTATGAAAGAAATATGGAAAGTGGCAGATTGGTGGCACCAGAGTAAGTTATCTTTCATGTATAAAAAAGTGAATTTTGTTAATGTATTTATTAAGATGGACTTTTGATCCCACCGTACGCATGGGATTCTTCGCTGTTTTCGTTGGAGGCACCTTATTAAAACTGCAGGGTACTTGCATTAATCAACCCGCCGTGCAACGCTTTTTATCTCTTGGCAGTATGGCGGATGTTAAGAAGTCTCTATATGCTTTTATAATTGGCTTAGTCTGTCTATTGGGTCTTTGTATTTATTTGGGTCTGTTGGCGTTTGCTTCTTATTACGATTGTGATCCCATTTCAACAGGGGTATGACCTTATCTTTTTTGAACAAATCAGTTCGTCTTATTAAATATCAAATGTCTAACTTGTAGTTGGTTCGTGCCAAAGATCAAATTGTTCCCTGTATGTTATGCAAATTGCTGGCTCATTTCCGGGTGTAGCTGGACTCTTTGTATCGGGTGTATTCAGTGCTGCTCTTAGTTCCTTATCCACTTGTTTGAATTCTTTATCGGGTGTTGTGTTAAAAGATTTTGTGGAACCTTATCGCAGTCAACCTTTTACCGAAAGACAAACGGCTATTTTCTTAAGAGCGGTGGTTTTGGTATTCGGTGTCTCAGCCATGGGTTTGGTAAAGATTGTAGAGAAATTGGGCATGGTTATGCAATTGTCGGCTACAGTTAACTCAATCTCCATAGGACCTATATTGGGCATATTTACCGTTGGAATGACCATGCCGTTTGTCAAAGCCAAGGTGGGTTTTTAAGGATTTAAAGAGGAAAACTGATATGCAATTTTATCCTTCTTACAGAGTGTCTTAACCGGTTGCATTACCTCAGCCTTATTTATGGGTTATATAGCCATACGTTCGCAAATTGATAGCGCTACGGGTGTTTTGAAATTTCCCACTAAACCGGTGTCGATAGAAGGTTGTACATATGAATTTGAGGCTTTAAATAAAACTATCTTAAGGTATGTATATATTTATAAAAAATATAATTTAATAAATTTTATAACTTTTTCGTATATTTCATTCGCAGTACCCCAGAACCTTCTTCGGAAAGCGCCCCATTACATCACGTTTCCTTCTTGTGGTACAGCGCTATTGGAGCCGTAATTACCATTACAGTGTCTCTTTTGTCTACTCTGTTTTATGGCCGTCAGGACTCTAGTGAAGTTGATCCTAAATTAATTACTCCGGTTTTGAGGAAATACATGAACAAATATAAATACAGCAGTGTGGCCATGAATATGAATGATGTTCAAGCGGACTTAGAGAAACCTTTACAAAATGGTTGCAGGGAGGATCAGTTTTAAAATAAGAAAAATGAGGCTTATTAGAAGAACTTTTTAATTTTTAATTTCAGCTCGTATATTTTATAATAGAAAATTTTACTTATAAATAGTGTTATATTTTAGAAAAATTTTGTAATACAAATTTTGTATTTTTGATTTTAAGGGGTTTTAATAAAGGTTTTTGGTATTAAATTTGAAAAAAAAAAATATTTAACAATTCTTGTAGTTTTATTTCGGTTTAATTTTTTAATTTGTCAAATGATTTAAACTAACTTGTCAAAAGATTTAAATCGTTATTTTAACAAATATCATACATACATATGAAGTATTTTGTTTAGATTAGCTGAGTTCTAATTATAGTTCTAGTTCAGTTCTAGTTCAGTTCTAGTTCAGTTCTAGTTCAGTTCTAGTTCAGTTCTAGTTCAGTTCTAGTTCAGTTCTAGTTGAGTTCTAGTTGAGTTCTAGTTGAGTTCTAGTTCAGTTCTAGTTCAGTTCTAGTTCAGTTCTAGTTCAGTTCTAGTTCAGTTCTAGTTCAGTTCTAGTTCAGTTCTAGTTCAGTTCTAGTTCAGTTCTAGTTCAGTTCTAGTTCAGTTCTAGTTCAGTTCTAGTTCAGTTCTAGTTCAGTTCTAGTTCAGTTCTAGTTCAGTTCTAGTTCAGTTCTAGTTCAGTTCTAGTTCAGTTCTAGTTCAGTTCTAGTTCAGTTCTAGTTCAGTTCTAGTTCAGTTCTAGTTCAGTTCTAGTTCAGTTCTAGTTCAGTTCTAGTTCAGTTCTAGTTCAGTTCTAGTTCAGTTCTAGTTCAGTTCTAGTTCAGTTCTAGTTCAGTTCTAGTTCAGTTCTAGTTCAGTCTAGTTCAGTTTCTAGTTCAGTTCTAGTTCAGTTCTAGTTCAGTTCTAGTTCAGTTCTAGTTCAGTTCTAGTTCAGTTCTAGTTCAGTTCTAGTTCAGTTCTAGTTCAGTTCTAGTTCAGTTCTAGTTCAGTTCTAGTTCAGTTCTAGTTCAGTTCTAGTTCAGTTCTAGTTCAGTTTCTCTTTCAGTCAGTTCTAGTTCAGTTCTAGTTCAGTTCTAGTTCAGTTCTAGTTCAGTTCTAGTTCAGTTCTAGTTCAGTTCTAGTTCAGTTCTAGTTCAGTTCTAGTTCAGTTCTAGTTCAGTTCTAGTTCAGTTCTAGTTCAGTTCTAGTTCAGTTCTAGTTCAGTTCTAGTTCAGTTCGTTCAGTTCTAGTTCAGTTCTAGTTCAGTTCTAGTTCAGTTCTAGTTCAGTTCTAGTTCAGTTCTAGTTCAGTTCTAGTTCAGTTCTAGTTCAGTTCTAGTTCAGTTCTAGTTCAGTTCTAGTTCAGTTCTAGTTCAGTTCTAGTTCAGTTCTAGTTCAGTTCTAGTTCAGTTCTAGTTCAGTTCTAGTTCAGTTCTAGTTCAGTTCTAGTTCAGTTCTAGTTCAGTTCTAGTTCAGTTCTAGTTCAGTTCTAGTTCAGTTCTAGTTCAGTTCTAGTTCAGTTCTAGTTCAGTTCTAGTTCAGTTCTAGTTCAGTTCTAGTTCAGTTCTAGTTCAGTTCTAGTTCAGTTCTAGTTCAGTTCTAGTTCAGTTTCTAGTTCAGTTCTAGTTCAGTTCTAGTTCAGTTCTAGTTCAGTTCTAGTTCAGTTCTAGTTCAGTTCTAGTTCAGTTCTAGTTCAGTTCTAGTTCAGTTCTAGTTCAGTTCTAGTTCAGTTCTAGTTCAGTTCTAGTTCAGTTCTAGTTCAGTTCTAGTTCAGTTCTAGTTCAGTTTCTAGTTCAGTTCTAGTTCAGTTCTAGTTCAGTTCTAGTTCAGTTCTAGTTCAGTTCTAGTTCAGTTCTAGTTCAGTTTCAGTTCAGTTCTAGTTCAGTTCTAGTTCAGTTCTAGTTCAGTTCTAGTTCAGTTCTAGTTCAGTTCTAGTTCAGTTCTAGTTCAGTTCTAGTTCAGTTCTAGGTCAGTTCTAGTTCAGTTCTAGTTCAGTTCTAGTTCAGTTCTAGTTCAGTTCTAGTTCAGTTCTAGTTCAGTTCTAGTTCAGTTCTAGTTCAGTTCTAGTTCAGTTCTAGTTCAGTTCTAGTTCAGTTCTAGTTCAGTTCTAGTTCAGTTCTAGTTCAGTTCTAGTTCAGTTCTAGTTCAGTTCTAGTTCAGTTCTTGTTCAGTTTCAGTTAAGTTTTAGTTCAGTTTTAGTTCAGTTCTAGTTCAGTTCTAGTTCAGTTCTAATTCAGTTCTAGTTCAGTTCTAGTTCAGTTCTAGTTCTAGTTCAGTTCTAGTTCAGTTCAGTTCTTCAGTTCAGTTCTAGTTCAGTTCTAGTACAGTTCTAGTTCAGTTCTAGTTCAGTTCTAGTTCAGTTCTAGTTCAGATCTAGTTCAGTTCTAGTTCAGTTCAGTTCTGTTCAGTTCTAGTTCAATTCTAGTTCAGTTCTAGTTCAGTTCCAGTTCAGTTCTAGTTCAGTTCTAGTTCAGTTCTAGTTCAGTTCTAGTTCAGTTCAGTTCAGTTCTAGTTCAATTCTAGACCTGGAATTACTTTCCTTTTATCCAAATTTCCCGAGTTCGTAGCTCATGTATTCTTAAATTTTTCTCTTAAAATTTTTCCAAATCAAAAGTTTCAAAACGCAACCTCCAAAAGTATATGTATCTATCTATAATCGAAATTATTTTCTTAAGTTAACTATGAAGATTCTCAAATAATTTTCAATATCATTTAATTTCTTTTCTATGTCCTAGTACTTTGAGAAACGTTTTAGTCGCCGCATGCGTCTATTCGGTGCCGCTCTCTTCAATCTGAAAACTGTAAGTATTTTCCTCTTTTGCGGGTTCTAAGATTATGGATTAATTTGTTAGTAACATTTTAATTGTGGTTTATCAACGAAAAAAGGTTTTATGGCTTCCAATTGCTGTCTATGTACCGGCATTAACTTTTAGTCAAGGTAAGTTATTGGATTTGGGAAAAATTTAGTGTTTTTGTTATGAACATTTTTTATTTTTTTTTATTATAGTTAGTGGGATCGATATACACACTATTGCGCCCATGGTTATTGTGATTTGTACATTCTATACATGTGTGGTAAGTTTTCATATTCTGCTAACAGATCCTTAGATTAAGATCATTTCATTGTGATTCCCTAGTTTTTTGGTTATAATTTCTGAATGAATTGCTGTTAAAATATTTTCATAAAAATTTTCTCTTCAGGGCGGTATTAAAGGTGTTGTCTGGACTGATGTTATACAAAGTATTATAATGTTTGCCTCCATGATTGTACTCATGATCAAGGGTACTATAGATTTGGGTGGTTTACAAGTATTATGGCAGCGTAACTTAGAAGGAGGACGTCTTAATTTCCCAGAGTAAGTTTAAAACTATGAATGATGTCAACAAGAAAATCTTTATAGTTGTAACATGTCTTTAAAACCCAATTAGAATTACTCTGGATCCCACTGTTCGCATGAGTGTTTTATCGGTTTTTGTGGGTGGTACTTTTTTAAACTCCAAAATACCTCCATCAATCAGCCCACTATACAAAGATTTATGTCACTGCCCAATATACAAAAGATAAAGCAGACTTTATATACATTTTCCATAGGTCTGACTCTCCTCTATATGGTGTGTATTTATGTGGGTCTATTGGCATTTGCCACCTATTACGACTGCGATCCCATGGCAACGGGGGTAAGTTGTTAATTTGTTAAGAATATTTGTAAGATTTTATTTTCTTTATATTAAGTTTAGTTGGCTCCTGCTAGAGATCAATTGGTACCTTTATTGGTCATGGATGTTTTGGGTAAATTTCCCGGTATGCCGGGTCTATTTGTGGCGGGTGTTTTTAGTGCTGCCCTAAGTTCTTTGTCGACCTATTTAAACTCTTTGGCAGCTGTTACACTGGAAGATTTGATTAAACCGTATTGGAAAAAGGAGTTAAGTGAACGTGCCACTGCTATAATATTACGTTCAGTGGTAATAGTTTTTGGCTTAAGTTCCATTTGTCTGGTGTATGTGGTGGAGAAATTGGGCATGGTTTTACAATTATCCGCCACTTTGCAATCTATAGTCTATGGGCCCATGTTGGGTATATTCACCGTTGGCATGTTAATGCCCTGGATAAATGAAAAGGTAGGTCAGAGTCTTATAATTTTGTAATAGATACATATAACTTAAATTTCAGAGCGTTTTAACTGGCAGCATAGTAGCCTTTCTAAGTATGGCTTGGATTTGCATAAATGCTCAGATAGCAAATATTACTGGTACTTTTCGTCATCCCAAATTGCCCATATCTATCGAGGGTTGTGACTATGAGTTCGATAAGACCAAATATTTAAACTCCACATCGGAATAGTAAGTTTATTGGGTATTATTATACATTTATAATATTTTGTTAATTATTTCTCTTGGCGAAAATTCCAGTCTTCCCAGTCAGGGCACTGCTATTTATCATGTTTCCTTTCTGTTATATACCGGCTTGGGTGCTTGCATTGTCTTAATTGCTTCCAATATAGCGGCTTTGTATTTTGGCTTTACGGATGTTCACAAGGTGGATGAGAAAGTATTGGCTCCATGGGTTGCTAGATTTTTAAAGAAATATAAATATTCAGAGGTGGAGCTAAAGGAAACTGAAGAGGAAAATTCCAATAAGGATCAAAATAAGAAAGACGAAGATATCTAATAACCAAAAGTATTCAACTAAAATTGGCAAATATTAATAATATTAAAAAAAGAAACAAAATTAATCAGTACAATAAAATAATAAAACTAAAGTTTTCCTCTTAACTGTAAATCAATAGTTTGAAAATCACAAAAAAGCATAAAATTAAAAAATCAATAAAAACGAACTCACAAAATTAGACTTTAGGCCGTGAAACAACAAAATTTAAAGTACATTTGGACAATTAACAACATACTCTAAGATTTCTATAAAAACTTTTAACACTACTGCAACATGTTTCCCGATTGTCGAAGTAAGCGCTCTCGTAACTGCTCCCCTAGTAAAGCCAACACGCAGCCGCAACATCAATGTCAAATTTGCCAACCAACTTGTAGCAATCAAAGAGAATGTGAAAAACCTTTTCTCTGCCAAGAACTCAATTCATCATATTGGTGCAAATGTCGTCCTCCCATTCACCGGAACTTTTGCGAATATTGTAAATCAAATGCTAAGAAAAAGGATAAAAGCGAGAAGAACGAAAACGCGGAAGAAAAGTAGCTAGAAGGGAGATAATGATGTCAAAAGAAGGTGAGATAATATTTCAGGTTGGTGTGGTTGAGGTTCTGTTCGGCTCTGGTTCGGTTCAAGCTCAGTTCAGTTCTAGTTCAGTTCTAGTTCAGTTCTAGTTCAGTTCTAGTTCAGATCTAGTTCAGTTCTAGTTCAGTTCTAGTTCAGTTCAAGTTCGTTCTAGTTCAGTTCTAGTTCAGTTCTAGTTCAGTTCTAGTTCAGTTCTAGTTCAGTTCTAGTTCAGTTCTAGTCAGTTCTAGTTCAGTTCTAGTTCAGTTCTAGTTCAGTTCTAGTTCAGTTCTAGTTCAGTTCTAGTTCAGTTCTAGTTCAGTTCTAGTTCTAGTTCTTCTAGTTCAGTTCTAGTTCAGTTCTAGTTCAGTTCTAGTTCAGTTCTAGTTCAGTTCTAGTTCAGTTCTAGTTCAGTTCTAGTTCAGTTCTAGTTCAGTTCTAGTTCAGTTCTAGTTCAGTTCTAGTTCAGTTCTAGTTCAGTTCTAGTTCAGTTCTAGTTCAGTTCTAGTTCAGTTCTAGTTCAGTTCTAGTTCAGTTCTAGTTCAGTTCTAGTTCAGTTCTAGTTCAGTTCTAGTTCAGTTCTAGTTCAGTTCTAGTTCAGTTCTAGTTCAGTTCTAGTTCAGTTCTAGTTCAGTTCTAGTTCAGTTCTAGTTCAGTTCTAGTTCAGTTCTAGTTCAGTTCTAGTTCAGTTCTAGTTCAGTTCTAGTTCAGTTCTAGTTCATTCTAGTTCAGTTCTAGTTCAGTTCTAGTTCAGTTCTAGTTCAGTTCTAGTTCAGTTCTAGTTCAGTTCTAGTTCAGTTCTAGTTCAGTTCTAGTTCAGTTCTAGTTCAGTTCTAGTTCAGTTCTAGTTCAGTTCTAGTTCAGTTCTAGTTCAGTTCTAGTTCAGTTCTAGTTCAGTTCTAGTTCAGTTCTAGTTCAGATCTAGTTCAGTTCTAGTTCAGTTCTAGTTCAGTTCTAGTTCAGTTCTAGTTCAGTTCTAGTTCAGTTTAAGTTCGATTATAGTTAAGTTTTAGTTCCACTGTTTTCAATATCCAAGTTTAAAATGTATTGCTCAGAACGTCTAATATGACTAAACAAAAAATTATAAAAAGTCAACTGTCAATTTTTTCAGTTTTATCATTTTTTAATTTTCTTCAATTTTCATAGTCTCGAAATAAATCAAATAGACAAATCTCTATATTTTTCACATATTTTCGCGTTCCTTTAACTAAACATATAAAATTTAAAATTTTTTTATTTGATACAGATTTTATACAAACTACAATAATTGCAACAAATTCGAATTCCAAATCTTTCGACAATAAATAAATGTATAGGAATTTTCAAGAAAATTGTTATTGTATCGAATATTATAGAAGAGTTCATTGCTGTCAAATCCAGCCTATTTTTTGCTACATTTCCTGCTGTCCTTGCCAATCAATTTGCTTTCAAACCTTTCGAATTTGCCCTCGAACATATCGCAAACTTTCCGCAATGCCACCAAAACTGAATTCATCAAGCGAAACATCATCAACGAAAAAAAGTGCAAAATTGAAAAAAAGAAATTTGAAATCCAAAAAAGGCAGTAAAAATACCAAACAGAATACACAGTATGTTGCCGATGAAATTTCATTAGAAGACAGTAAAGCCAGTAATTCAATCTCAAGTATTGAGTATTCCAGATACCCCTTTAATGTCGGCAATAATGTGCGTTTAACACATTCTGAAAGTGTAGTGGGAAGTAGATCTGGTGTTGGAAGTCATAATAGCATTAAATATTCTGACTCATATTGTAACTACCAATGTCATTGTAGACCTTTGAATGGATGCCAAGGGAAACCAGAAATTAATTTTAATCTCGTCGCTCGAAATAACGTACCCATTAAGCAGACCCATCCAGGGCGTAGAAATTACACAAAAGTGAATAATGAGTATTACTACAATAATTTGGTAAATGTAAAATCCCCAACAAGCAGCCAAACTCCCTCATATGAATCCAGAAATTCATACTCATCTGAAGCTAGTATTAATAGGAGGGTTTCGTATGACTCTCCTAATTCATATACTTCTCAAATAAAACCAAATATTTCTACAAAATCAGATTGTAAATCTTGTATGGAATGTCAGCACATAGATTTTACTAAAACAGCTTGTGTTCCAAAATCAACACAACACCAGTCTTGTCATTGTAACTGCAATCTTTGCCGTAAAGCCTCACCAACTAGAACCAGTCCCTTAAGATCGGCAAGACATTCTTTTTCATCCTCTAAAAGTTGTCCGCAACTGGATATCATTAAAGAAGAAGAACCTGAAAATGAAGATCATACAAATTTGAGTAGTAATAAAAGTATTCCTGTGAGGACCGTTTCAAGAGATATTCAAACAAAGCCTGAAACTCAACCAAAAGCAACATCATCAGGTCCGTTAAAAATGCAAAAATCTTTAGAAGATTCTTGTGCAGATTTCTTAAATATTGTTTGTGATAATATTTTGGAATCCGTGCAAAAATCTGTTGATCATAAGTTGAAGGAATATTGCGGCAATGTTAAAGAAAATTTTGAGAGTCTGGGTCGAAAAGTTGAAAAGAGCGAGTCTGCTGTGAAAGGTGTGTGCTGGGATATATTGGAAAGTAAGTGTTATATTAAGTTTTTGTTAACTTCTAGTGCAGTTCCAGTACATTTCTGTTCAATTTTAGTTCTGTTCTAGTTCAGTTCTACTTCAGTTCTAGTTCAGTTCTACTTCAGCTCTAGTTCAGTTCTAGTTCAGTTCTAGTTCTAGTTCAGTTCTAGTTCAGTTCTAGTTCAGTTCTAGATCAGTTCTAGTTCAGTTCTAGTTCAGTTCTAGTTCATTCGTTCTAGTTCTAGTTCAGTAGTTCTAGTTCAGTTCTAGTTCGTTTCTAGTTCAGTTCTAGTTCAGTTCTAGTTCAGTTCTAGTTCAGTTCTAGTTCAGTTCTAGTTCAGTCTAGTTCAGTTCTAGTTCAGTTCTAGTTCAGTTCTAGTTCAGTTCTAGTTCAGTTCTAGTCAGTTCTAGTTCAGTTCTAGTTCAGTTCTAGTTCAGTTCTAGTTCAGTTCTAGTTCAGTTCTAGTTCAGTTCTAGTTCAGTTCTAGTTCAGTTCTAGTTCAGTTCTAGTTCAGTTCTAGTTCAGTTCTAGTTCAGTTTCTAGTTCAGTTCTAGTTCAGTTCTAGTTCAGTTCTAGTTCAGTTCTAGTTCAGTTCAGTTCTAGTTCAGTTCTAGTTCAGTTCTAGTTCAGTTCTAGTTCAGTTCTAGTTCAGTTCTAGTTCAGTTCTAGTTCAGTTCTAGTTCAGTTCTAGTTCAGTTCTAGTTCAGTTCTAGTTCAGTTCTAGTTCAGTTCTAGTTCAGTTCTAGTTCAGTTCTAGTTCAGTTCTAGTTCAGTTCTAGTTCAGTTCTAGTTCAGTTCTAGTTCAGTTCTAGTTCAGTTCTAGTTCAGTTCTAGTTCAGTTCTAGTTCAGTTCTAGTTCAGTTCTAGTTCAGTTCTAGTTCAGTTCTAGTTCAGTTCTAGTTCAGTTCTAGTTCAGTTCTAGTTCAGTTCTAGTTCAATTCTAGTTCAGTTCTAGTTCAGTTCTAGTTCAGTTCTAGTTCAGTTCTAGTTCAGTTCTAGTTCAGTTCTAGTTCAGTTCTAGTTCAGTTCTAGTTCAGTTCTAGTTCAGTTCTAGTTCAGTTCTAGTTCAGGTCTAAGTCAGTTCTAGTTCAGTTCAGTTCAGTTCTAGTTCAGTTCTAGTTCAGTTCTAGTTCAGTTCTAGTTCAGTCTAGTCAGTTCTAGTTCAGTTCTAGTTCAGTTCTAGTTCAGTTCTAGTTCAGTTCTAGTTCAGTTCTAGTTCAGTTCTAGTTCAGTTCTAGTTCAGTTCTAGTTCAGTTCTAGTTCAGTTCTAGTTCAGTTCTAGTTCGTTCTAGTTCAGTTCTAGTTCAGTTCTAGTTCAGTTCTAGTTCAGTTCTAGTTCAGTTCTAGTTCAGTTCTAGTTCAGTTCTAGTTCAGTTCTAGTTCAGTTCTAGTTCAGTTCTAGTTCAGTTCTAGTTCAGTTCTAGTTCAGTTCTAGTTCAGTTCTAGTTCAGTTCTAGTTCAGTTCTAGTTCAGTTCTAGTTCAGTTCTAGTTCAGTTCTAGTTCAGTTCTAGTTCAGTTCTAGTTCAGTTCTAGTTCAGTTCTAGTTCAGTTCTAGTTCAGTTCTAGTTCAGTTCTAGTTCAGTTCTAGTTCAGTTCTAGTTCAGTTCTAGTTCAGTTCTAGTTCAGTTCTAGTTCAGGTTCAGTTCTAGTTCAGTTCTAGTTCAGTTCTAGTTCAGTTCTAGTTCAGTCTAGTTCAGTTCTAGTTCTAGTTCTAGTTCTAGTTCTAGTTCTAGTTCTAGTTCTAGTTCTGTTCTAGTTCTGTTCTAGTTCTGTTCTAGTTCTGTTCTAGTTCTGTTCTAGTTCTGTTCTAGTTCTGTTCTAGTTCTGTTCTAGTTCTGTTCTAGTTCTGTTCTAGTTCTGTTCTAGTTCTGTTCTAGTTCTGTTCTAGTTCTGTTCTAGTTCTGTTCTAGTTCTGTTCTAGTTCTGTTCTAGTTCTGTTCTAGTTCTGTTCTAGTTCTGTTCTAGTTCTGTTCTAGTTCTGTTCTAGTTCTGTTCTAGTTCTGTTCTAGTTCTGTTCTAGTTCTGTTCTAGTTCTGTTCTAGTTCAGTTCTAGTTCTGTTCTAGTTCTGTTCTAGTTCTGTTCTAGTTCTGTTCTAGTTCTGTTCTAGTTCTGTTCTAGTTCTGTTCTAGTTCTGTTCTAGTTCTGTTCTAGTTCTTTCTAGTTCTGTTCTAGTTCTGTTCTAGTTCTGTTCTAGTTCCGTTCTAGTTCTGTTCTAGTTCTGTTCTAGTTCTGTTCTAGTTCTAGTTCTGTTCTAGTTCTGTTCTAGTTCTGTTCTAGTTCTGTTCTAGTTCTGTTTTAGTTCTGTTCTAGCTCTGTGCTAGTTCAGTTGTAGTCCACTTCTTGTTCAGTTCCAAATCAATTCCTTGTCCCAAATAAAAATGTAAGCACAAGTACCTTTTTAACGTAATTGAATTTATATTTCCTAATTATAATCATCAAAACTTTCCACTTGAGTTCTTTACTTTATACACAATTCATAACGACTAATTCTTTAAATTATGTTTATCATTCCCCCCTCCTTCTCTTACAGCACCCCTCCTTTGTCTTATTTTTTGTTTTCTATGATTATTAAATCATTTGAAAATAATTCTTTAATATTTCTGCTGTTTTCACATTTTAGAAATGACTGAGCAAAATAAAAATAATTTCGAACAAATCTGCGCACTTGTACAAAATCTAGTGGAAAATCGAACAGCCAATCAATATGCCATGACAAGGAACAATTGTCAAGATAAAGAATGTCAGTGCGAGTTCTTGGTTGAGGAAGAAAATGCTGATAGAGGAAAAAATATAAATAATGAGGATAAAAGTATGGAAAAAAACATAAAATCTGTCGTAAAAAGTGCAAATGAGGATATTCGTAAGGAGGAAAACGCAAATGATATTAAATCAAAATGGTGTAATTGTTGCCATTGTAATGATGCATATTTGACTCCGCTATTAGATCCAGATAAAACGTATCCCAGTAAAACATCAGAATCCGAAACCATTGACACTCCTGCTTTGCCTAAGACACACTTGACCACCAGATCTGCAGGTGGTTGTTCAAATTGTGAAAAATGTAAAAAAGAAAATATACAATTGGTGAAAGTGCCCATAAATAAAATACCTGAAGTAATTTTATCCAGAAGCTCAGTTGTAGAAGAGGATTTGAAAATTATGGGTTTACCAAGTAAAGACGTAAATACATCCGAAAACCCAGCTGTAAATAATCACAGTTTAAATACGAAATATAATGAAACATCTATGGCGGTACCTTTAAAATTTCCAGCACCTGAATTAACTTCACCTAGCACTTCTGGAACATTAACATCTCAGCATGTATCGGGTACTACTGAAAGGGACACAAGTCTTCCAAAATATACAACTTTTTGTTTAACACCTACGGGAAAGACTATTTTCAATTGCAACTGTTCTGCTATGGGATATGATAATAATGAAAATAAACAGATTTGTGCTTGTAAAATCTCCAACGATACAAATATGGAACTTAAGCCAATTTGCAGAAATCTTTACGATAACTACGATACCAGTGGTTATGCCACCGAACCAGAGGATAATAATGATAGTACAACCAATTGCAATAGTGCTCGTAAGAAATTGCAAAAGAAGGCCTCGAAACAACATTGCAGTTCTCAAACTATGGATATGGGAAATTCTGGTAGTGGCTATGATTATGGCAACGAGATGCGCGGCAGTCACATCGGTAAAAGATTGAGTAAAACTAATTCTTGTAATCCCTCACCAACAAGATTATCGCGTTTGTGATTATGGTTTGATATCATGAGTTCGAACAATTATTAACTGCCTAAATGGAATCTTGAGTATTGAATATATCATTTATTTGGAATATAAAGAATTTTCTTAATAAAAATTATAACGAAAATAGAATCAGTCCGTATTGATTTTTCTTGGAATATAAAGAGTTACATTCTATTTACATACGACTTGCCCAGTTATACTTCAGTTCTAGTTTAGTTCTAGTTCAGTTCTAGTTCAGTTCTAGTTCAGTTCTAGTTCAGTTCTAGTTCAGTACTAGTTCAGTTCTAATTCAGTTCTAGTTTAGTGCTAGTTCAGTTCTACTTCAGTTCTAGTTCAAGTTCTAGTTCAAGTTCAGTTCTAGTTCAGTTCTTGTTCAGTTCTAGTTCAGTTCTTGTTCAGTTCTAGTTCAGTTCCAGATCAGTTCTAGTTCAGTTCTACTTCAGTTCTACTTCAATTCTACTTCAATTCTATTTCAGTTTCAGTTCAGTTCTAGTTCAGTTCTAGTTCAGTTCTAGTTCAGTTCTAGTTCAGTTCTAGTTCCGTTCTAGTTCATTTCTAGTTCAGTTCTACTTCAGTTCTAGTTCAGTTCTAGTTCAGTTCTAGTTCAGTTCTAGTTCAGTTCTAGTTCAGTTCTAGTTCAGTTCTAGTTCAGTTCTAGTTCAGTTCTAGTTCAGTTCTAGTTCAGTTCTAGTTCAGTTCTAGTTCAGTTCTAGTTCAGTTCTAGTTCAGTTCTAGTTCAGTTCTAGTTCAGTTCTAGTTCAGTTCTAGTTCAGTTCTAGTTCAGTTCTAGTTCAGTTCTAGTTCAGTTCTAGTTTAGTTCTAGTTCAGTTCTAGTTCAGTTCTAGTTCAGTTCTAGTTCAGTTCTAGTTCAGTTCTAATTCAGTTCTAGTTTAGTGCTAGTTCAGTTCTACTTCAGTTCTAGTTCAAGTTCAGTTCTTGTTCAATTCTAGTTCAGTTCTACTTCAATTCTAGTTCAGTTCTAGTTCAGTTCCAGTTCAGTTCTAGTTCAGTTTTAGTTCAGTTCTAGTTCAGTTCTAGTTCAGTTCTAGTTCAGTTCTAGTTCAGTTCTAGTTCAGTTCTAGTTCAGTTCTAGTTCAGTTCTAGTTCAGTTCTAGTTCAGTTCTAGTTCAGTTCTAGTTCAGTTCTAGGTCAGTTCTAGTTCAGTTCTAGCTCAGTTCTAGTTCAGTTCTAGTTCAGTTCTAGTTCAGTTCTAGTTCAGTTCTAGTTCAGTTCTAGCTCAGTTCTAGTTCAGTTCTAGTTCAGTTCTAGTTCAGTTCTAGTTCAGTTCTAGTTCAGTTCTAGTTCAGTTCTAGTTCAGTTCTAGTTCAGTTCTAGTTCAGTTCTAGTTCAGTTCTAGTTCAGTTCTACTTCAGTTCTACTTCAGTTCTAGTTCAGTTCTAGTTCAGTTCTAGTTCAGTTCTAGTTCAGTTCTAGTTCAGTTCTAGTTCAGTTCCAGATCAGTTCTAATTTCGGATTTAGTTGTAAGTTTTACTTACAATTTCGAATTTTAAAACAAAATGCTAAACATCGTTCCAATGTAAACTCACATTAATTTAATTTCCTAATGGATGAATCCTCCGCTTTGGTATTCATTTCTGTATCTAGTTAAAACTTTAACTATTCCCACAACAATGTAGTTAGAAAATATCTATTTAATAAAATGAATATTTCAGTATTTACTTAATTTAATAAAACTCTTAGAAACTTTGTTAAACAATTCTTTAACACGTTTTCGAATTTTAAACAACTGAAGGAGTTTTACCATCAACACGTAAACAACTACCATGAAGGCGGGAAAACAATGAGCATAGAATAAGAGGAAGTATGTTTAGTGTTGTCAAAAAGCTTTAATTAAAATTCCATTACCTAAAAAGTTGCAATGAGAAAAAACAACGTCATCTTTAAACTCAAAATGCTACTTATTAATGAAAGAAAATTTCAACGCAGCAAAAAGTAAAGTAAAAATAATTTAACATTTTAAAATATCTAAAGGTAAAGAAACATTAACACAGAAACCGCAGAGAATAAACACCCCTATTAGAATTTACTTGGAACCATAAACGTTTACGGTTGGCAGTAAAATTCTGTTTTAGAAATGGAAATTTGATTACAACTTAAGGGTAACACCTGTAACAGATGGTCTATAAAGGCGTTATGTTTGTAATAAGTAATATGACAAATAATTTAATTTTAGTAAATTAAGTATTTTATGACTTTAATAAAAGACGTACCTACGTTCGTTAGTAATTTAGGGATTTTATTACAAAAAAATTTTGTTTTTTTCTGATATACAATACTTAGTGCTTTTCTCTGCTTTCAAACAATTGTTTTGCAGTGTTGTTGAGTGTACTGAAATTAATGTTGCTGCAAAATAAGTTTATTTGTTTGTTGAAAATTGCGAAAAATATTTCAATTAAATATGCAAGTGTTGGTAAGTTTCAAAGAAAATTTGAGCAGAAAATTCAAAATAACTATTGACAGAAAGTGTAGTGAAATTTCTAGGAAATTATTTAATTATAGTTTCAATTAACGACAGACGTTAATATGGAAGTAAAATTTGAAATTTTATAAGAATTATTAAAAACATTTAAACTTTCAAATTATTTTTTAGGAAATTTCATAACATTTCCACCAAAACAATACGCTTTTTTAAATACGCAGAAATAAATGTTAACTTGCTATTCTAGTTCAGTTCTAATTCAGTAATTGTTCAGATTTAGTTTAATTTTAATTTGGTGCTAGTTCAGTTTAAGTTCAGTTCTAGTTCAGTTCCAGTTCAGTTCTAGTTCAGATCTAGTTCAGTTCTAGTTCAGTTCTAGTTCAGTTCTAGTTCAGTTCTAGTTCAGTTCTAGTTCAGTTCTAGTTCAGTTCTAGTTCAGTTCTAGTTCAGTTCTAGTTCAGTTCTAGTTCAGTTCTAGTTCAGTTCTAGTTCAGTTCTAGTTCAGTTCTAGTTCAGTTCTAGTTCAGTTCTAGTTCAGTTCTAGTTCAGTTCTAGTTCAGTTCTAGTTCAGTTCTAGTTCAGTTCTAGTTCAGTTCTAGTTCAGTTCTAGTTCAGTTCTAGTTCAGTTCTAGTTCAGTTCTAGTTCAGTTCTAGTTCAGTTCTAGTTCAGTTCTAGTTCAGTTCTAGTTCAGTTCTAGTTCAGTTCTAGTTCAGTTCTAGTTCAGTTCTAGTTCAGTTCTAGCTCAGTTCAGTTCAGTTCTAGTTCAGTTCTAGTTCAGTTCTAGTTCTAGTTCAGTTCTAGTTCAGTTCTAGTTCAGTTCTAGTTCAGTTCTAGTTCAGTTCTAGTTCAGTTCTAGTTCAGTTCTAGTTCTAGTTCAGTTCTAGTTCAGTTCTAGTTCAGTTCTAGTTCAGTTCTAGTTCAGTTCTAGTTCAGTTCTAGTTCAGTTCTAGTTCAGTTCTAGTTCAGTTCTAGTTCAGTTCTAGTTCAGTTCTAGTTCAGTTCTAATTCAGTTCTAGTTCAGTTCTAGTTCAGTTCTAGTTCAGTTCTAGTTCAGTTCTAGTTCAGTTCTAGTTCAGTTCTAGTTCAGTTCTAGTTCAGTTCGAGGTCAGTTCTAGTTCAGTTCTAGTTCAGTTCTAGTTCAGTTCTAGTTTAGTTCTAGTTCAGTTCTAGTTCAGTTCTAGTTCAGTTCTAGTACAGTTCTAGTTCAGTTCTAGTACAGTTCTAGTTCAGTTCTAGTTCAGTTCTAGTTCAGTTCTAGTTCAGTTCTAGTTCAGTTCTAGTTCAGTTCTAGTTCAGTTCTAGTTCAGTTCTAGTTCAGTTCTAGTTCAGTTCTAGTTCAGTTCTAGTTCAGTTCTAGTTCAGTTCTAGTTCAGTTCTAGTTCAGTTCTAGTTCAGTTCTAGTTCAGTTCTAGTTCAGATCAGTTCAAGTTCTAGTTCAGTTTTACGTCATTTGTTCATATTCATAAGAATTTATTAAAGGTTTATAGATCAAAATTAGCATGAACATTTTTCTATAGATTTATAATTTTCTGAAAATCAATTGGAAAGTGCTGAAATACAATTGGAAATTGTGTAATTTGTAAATATGTAATAAAATAATTTAATATTTTTAATAAATTAAATATTTATTTTGTTAAGTTGTAGTTTTTTTTGTCTGCATTTCAAGAAATTAAAATTTTAATCAAATTTGTTTTACCCACAAAATTTATCCTCAAAAAAAGCATTACATTACCTATAAATGTTTTAAATGTCTGGCTAATTATGCTATAAAATTAAGTTTTTTTCTTCTTATGCTGTTTATCCTAAAATTACTCAAATGACTAGAAACCTTGTTTCTACACTTCCAAAGGGATTTTGCAAAATTTTCTACTTAAATATTAATAAATTTGCCAAAAAGTATAAATTTTCTAGAAAAAGAAAAACCAGACAAATAATTTTGTTGTGTTTATGTTTTTTTAATGTTTAATGTTTAACAGTGTCAGCTATGGGAGCTAGCTGTCTTAATTTTTTTCTTTAAGAAAAGTTAAGAAAATTATATTTAAACACTTTTAAAAAGTTTATTGTTTGCGCTCATGTGTTATTAAAAATGCTGTTTGTTTGTTTGCTTTGCCAAGAAGAAAGACTATTTTAAACCTTGTAAGTGAAGTGAATTTATTTTATTTTTAGCTGAAAGAAACTCTTATAAGAATCTGATACTTTAACATAAAACTCACCCCTATTGACTTTGTTTAACGTCATTTTCATTTATTGCAAGCATCATTATCATCATCCCTGGCCGCATTTATAATCTTCATGATTATGAAACAATTTAAACTTGTTTAATTTCTCGTTAAAATATGAGACGACAAAATTAACAGAAACATCTTAAGAGAGAAATTAAAAAGGAACAAGTAAGCAAGTATGGTTGGGCATGATCGACCATATGATATGCTATATGAGTGAAGTGGGTACTAAAGTTAGCTCTCCTTTACAAACATTTCAGTAATTTTTGCATGAAATCCTATTTATATGGCTGAAGGACCGTTTCGTAAAATAGACTTCTAGATGAAGGTATAGTACTATTCCCTCTGTAATGATGTAGCGCTTAGAAAATGTCCCAATAAAATTTTTAAAAAGCAACAAATATACAAAAACTTATTTTTAATTAAAACCAGCTTCAAGAAGAAGTATCTTGAGG